TTGCTAACCTCAGCCCACGACTTGTTCTGGAAGGTGTTGTCGTCCAAGAACTTGCTTCCCAGAAGGAGAGCAACAGTGAGCATCCGGTAGACCTGGCCGCTTCCAGAGTGGAACACCTTGGCCGAAGAGAGCATGCGCATCCGACTCGCGAGGTAGTAGAGACCCAAGAGAATGGTCGAGCTCGGGAGCCGAGTCGACGACAAGATCTGGTAGACGTATTTTCGGAACTGGGGGGTGACCGAGGATCCTGGGTAGACGCTTCGCGCTAAGTCAATATCTGCAAGGTTGATCTTGGTGATGTACAAAGCATACATTCCCTGGGCCATTTCAGCCACGTAGTCGGACATCTGGTCCATCTCATAGTCCAAGTGCGCCGCGACGCCTCCAGTAGCCTTTTCCTCCTTGCGCGGTTGCTCTTGCACCATCATGTCCTGGCGACGGTAATGGGGCGCGATGCCGTTGTCCATCGGGGGAAGCTGAACGTTGTTGCGGAGCGGCGGCAGAACATTGGCGGTGGCCATGGCGCCGTACATGGGCTGGTTCATCGCAGAGTGGGCGGCATTCATCTCGCGGCCGTTGCGTACTCCAACCCGGGATTGAGCGTTCATGTTAACAGCCGACTTGGGATAGCAATTGGCCTGAGAATACTGCTCGATGAACTCGCAGCCGTTCTGAGAGTACCGAGGCGGGAATGCAGCGGAGGGGCCCAGGACGTAGAAAGGTTGCTCGTGCTCCATGCGGCCAGCACTCACGATGTGAGGCGGGGTCGGAGGAAGGCCCTGCAGGCTAGGGGCGTAGAAGGATGGCATGACGAAGTGAGAAGGAAGAGGTTGACACCAGTTCAGGTGGGGGAAGGTAGACTAGGTGGCTGTATCCAGGCGCTGTGTTAGCACACACCTTGGCTCCGATGGCAAGCAGGGAAACCCAATGGACAACAAACAATCAAGACCGCAAGGAACTCAAGATACGAACCGTCTACACGTCCGCCACGCCCTGATCCTGGGTGGGGGAAAGAAGAAGGGGAGCGGTTGCTCGGCGAGCCGCGGCTCTGTTCTTTTGGTATGGAAGGTGTTGTTTAGTTGAATGACATGAGAAGTATGGCGGTCTTCACAACACGGGGCAGATTTAGCAGCGAGACGGTCGTGGATAATTGATGCGCGCGATTGCTCTGAGAGTTGCTACCGCACGAGTTTGGTGATCGATGTGAAGGCGTGTGACTCTCAGAAGGGGGATGGCAGAGCGGACAATTGATCAAGCACGAGGAAGTCAACAAGACAGACGAGCTAGTCGATCGCTAGTTGATTCTTTTTTCTTGTAGCCGAACGAGTAGAACGAATAACCGATGGGGTCAAGGGATGTGTTAGGGGGTGCGGATGGGGAAGGGGACGGTGGAGATCTTTTTAAAGTGTTTTTGCGCTTTTTCGAAAAGAAAATATGAACGACAAACACCAGTTCTCGCGTCAAAGGGAGTAGTCCCAGTCCACGGTGACAACGATACTTAGTGAAAAGCTCGTTGAAAAATGAGATAGGAGGAAATGGAGATTTTCGCAAAGTGGACAAAAAGAGGAGGGAGGGAAGAGGAGAATATAGGTTGGATGATGTAAAGAGAAGAGAAGGAAAAAGGAGGAGGGATGAGGAGAAGAGTCAAAGGAGAGGGGAGGAGGGATGGGGGGAAGTAGAAGAGGAGAGCAAGAGAGAGAGAGAGAGAGAGAGAGTGCGCGAATACAGACGTAGTAAAAAAAAAGCAGCAGCAGCGGAGAACGAGGGAGAAAAGAGAAGAGCAGAGCAATTGACTGGGACTAGGCTAGGTAGGCTAGGCTCATTAGTAGTGGTCAAGAGGGTCTCAAGAGGTGTCAGAGGCGGCGGCGGCGGTCGTCGTTTGGGGGGCACGGCGAGTCTGGGAGGGTGGAAAAGTCACTGAGAAAGTGACGATCCCCGGCTCAACTGGCCTAGTACTGACTAACCTCTTTCTTTTTTTTTTCTCTGGGATTTTTTTTTAATTTATTTTTCCATTTAGTTGATCAAATTAATTACCCTTTCCTCTCACAGACAGTAAGAAAGAGAGAGAGGGCAGTGGGTAAAGGTAAGTGAAACGGGAAAGGAAAGGCAGAAGGGGCTCGGTATGGTAAGAGAGTCGTAAGCCAATGTGATTCCGCCTCGGGTGGGGATTTTATCGATGGTTCATACAATCATCTTTGCCCATTGTATTAGATAAGTGGTTTTTCTACTGCTTAGTTGTTTTCTGCTACAAGTTGTCCCCTCAGGCAGCGGCAGCAGCAGCAGCAGCATCATCATCAAACCTGATGATAAGTTTTGATGGTCTTCAACATGATTCAATCGGATGCCTTACTGCCATCCAAAGACATGAATCTAATTACTGAAACCAACAGTAATGGTGGGCCATCCAGAATCCATACATGACCAACCGGTACCACATCCTGCCCCTAAAAAGTCCGTAGGGATTCTCCGTAGGGGTTCGGATTCCTTATGGAACAATAGATGGCCTTTCCTCATCAACAGTAGCAGCATCATCGCCCGCCAGAGATCCCCAGTCTCCAAACTCAGTACGGAGTACGTAGACCCCCCATAAAAGTCAAACCATTAATAAGAGACCAGCCGCAGCATCCGAGCAGATGGGACTCGAATCATCTCCATTAAACTAACTTAACTAACTTAACTAATGCTTCACATGGGGTGATCGTTTAGAGTTTTCAGAAATCTCAATGGCTATGATGGATGGGGGAGACTAGGAGACTAGGAGACTAAAGCCAGGAATAATCTTAGTCGGAGAGTTGACGATGTTCCCGTTCGTGCTCCATCAAGCCCCCATCGTTGTTCTGGTTGGTTGGTCTGTTGGTGTTTTAAGGGGGGGAAAGGGAATGAACCTTTGCAAGAGGAGAGAAAAGGTTAGTCAGAATGGATGGGAATGAATAAGAAAGGGAAAAATTCAGAAATTCCTTTTTTTTTCCCTCTCTTCACCGTAACACTGGAGTCACTGGGCAGGCTAAGACAGAGGCTAGAACAGTAAGAGAATACCCATATCCATGGGTAGGGGCCCTCTTTCGACCGTCGGCACCGAAAAAAAGACTGGAACGAGGGTAAGGGCCTTTTCCTGTCTAGTATGAATTAATGATGATGAAGAGGAGAATGAGATGAGGAGGTGCAGTAGAATTAATCCTGTGATCCTCTGGCTTACCGTTTTTAATTTAAGGAAATAATACCTATCTCCCGCCGACAACCGCATTGGGACCAATGTCGAGGTTTCAATGAGGTAGGGTTACTGTTCAGTAAACAAATCGATCTTTGACCTGCCACCACCACCACCGTCTTTCCCCCCAAGCTGGGAATGATACTCCGAGGTCCCTTGGCCATAGCAGTAAGAGTGAATGAAGTACGACTAACCTGTACAGTAAATTTGATTCACTTGCAGTGCCTGCCGCCCGCCTGACTGACCGGCAGTGCTATCCAATAATAAGCTGCACGACCAGACCGGGCCAAACTGCACAACCACCCCTTCTACTCACTGGCAGTAAGCTCCAGCGGTTGGCGGTGGGCAGTCTCGGGGGAGCCAAACGGTTCAGTTTTAGTCGGGGTAAGTTAACTAACTTAGTTGGATGTTGAGTTTAGTCAGTCAGTCACTGCAAGTTAGTTAACTAGACTGAGTACCAGTTAGTCTAGGACTCTAGGGGCAGGCTCGAACGGCCAACCCAGAAGGCATCGGCACTTGGGGTCACCGCAGTGACCCATTTATTACTACTTCCAGGGCGCTTAGCGGCGGCCGGTCTGCTTAATTGCAAGAGCTAAGAGGAGGACGGCCATGGGATGGAGGGAAGGAGAAAATTCCTCGAACCCACCACCACATGTTGGCATCTCTCGAACCAGGGTGGGTGATCCAACCATTTAACAGCAGCTACTAGAATATGGACATTGGCGGTAATTTTTTCGAAGTCTGCAAGCAAAGGATATTGGATTGTTATGTCGTCTCACAAGGCCACCTTTCATCATCCTTCCCACCGTTGTTTAATCCACTGACACAGTCGTTCACCAAGCAAAAGTAGATTGAATCTAACTAACACAAAAACAAAATAATAATAGGAGGCCTGGGTGACGATGCCGACCTCCAATCAATCCCAGACGGGGCAACGTCCTACGATCCATTGGCCTGGTGGAACAGGCGGCGGTACGGAGTACGTGTACTATGTACGGAGTACTGTACTATGTATGTGTATGTAGAGGGCGAACAGTCAATGAAAGTCCTGGTCGACTTAAGGTTCAGAACTTCACATGATCGTCGAAACTGATAGAGAGAGCAATGCAGTGCAGGTGGCCTAGCCATGGCCAGTTCATAAGCCAGACAGGATACCAACAGGAGCATTTCCGTCACTTCTTGTCTATCGGAGGCAAAAATTGAAGTCACACCTCGAAAAGAGGGCGAAGAGCAACAGGAAAGGAGCGGCCGAAGAGCGCTAGTGGTACGGCTCGACAAATGACTGGGCCGTGCGCCCCCGTGCTAATTTATCAAATGATGGGCAAAGGAAGAAGCCAGAAACAAAAAAAAAAATAGAACTAAGGAATTTAAAAACTAAACAGGGAAAGAAAAAAACGTGTCGTGGACAGGACTAAGAAAGTTGACTAAGATAAAATGGGTTCATGGAGATTGAGTCGTTCACACCAAAAGTGTGGCTTGGCTTGTTGGTCGCATAAGGTGGATTATCTAATCCATTCTGGTTGGATATTTATAACTTTTTTCCAAAGGCCCCCGCCCAGTCACCGTGTATCCGAAAAGGGGCAGGCGGAGGCAACATTGATTCAATCATTCAATCATCGGTCAATCATGGATCCATCATGGATCCATCATGGATCGTGGTACTAATTGGGTCAGTCATCAAAATGGATCTAGATGGATGGATGGATGGATGGATGGATCATGGGGTGAGAAAAAAAGAGGGGGCAGCAGCAGCAGCAGCATCCAGCTCTACGTCTACAGTAGTCTAGTCAGTCTAGAAGGGATGGAATAGCGAAGAAGGGCATGATCTCAGGGGAGGAAACCTCATCATCACCAGTATGGTCGCGACAAGTCAACGGTGGCGATGGGTGATCTCAAGGCGGAGCCCATGACACCATGCCATGCCATGCCAGGTCCTGCCCTGCCCTTTTGCCCTTGCCCTGTGTCACTTCTGGCTCATGAACCCTGAAGGTCTGGAAGCCTGGGTCTTCCTAGACTGCCTGGACTGTCTGGACTGCCTCATTTTCACCATGATGGTCGAGGTCGCTCGCTGTAGGTCACCACATATGCATCAGCAGGTCCTCTACCGGTATGTACATACGGTACTTACTGTAAGCTGTATCTTTCCGGACAGGTTAGCAGCAGGGAAAAGGCATCAATCATCATCATCATTGTACATATTTTTTGACTGCCAATACTCGGTAGTCACCTACCTTTCAGGTAGAATCGGTAGAACCTTGAGACGAACCGACACATTCCAGCTCCTTCCATTCTGTCGACATTCCTGCCTGTTGCTGCAGCTCAGCCATCATCAAACATCAACCCAATCAATGATGGGTTATTGAGTCCCAATATCCTGTTGGTAGAGGTGACAGATCTGGTATACGTACAGTAAGTACATACTCATAGTGGTAAAGAGGGGGGAAGAGCATGTGCCTGATCTCCCTGTGGCTCGGAGGCTGGCCAGAGGAATCATCTCATCAGCATCGTCGTCGTCACCTGAAGCGTTGCGGCTGATACCTACCTACCTTCATTGCTCTCTTGGTGACTCAGAGCTGCATCGGAATGCATCCAATCAACGCTGGGAGGGGTGTCGGACAGGCTGAGTGATTTTCATTAGTTGGTGAGGTGACTGGTGCAGTGGTTGCTTACAAAGGACCTATTCAAGCTGCATTTAGATAACTAGGGCTACGACTCAAGGTGGTGGTGGGATGCTCAACCAGGCTACCACGGTAATAATAATAGCTCCAGCAGTAAGCATGGCGGTTTGTCGGCGGGGTAGGTTGATATTCTGGAAAACAGCCAGTCCCTGGTTGCTATCGCAATCATGGCGCCAGTCACCTTCCACCTCCTGCAGGCACATCGAGATACAGTACAACGCGATCTATGACTGGGCTTATGGATAAAGAACATAAACCACAACAATCTATTGTAGCTAAAACTCGAGACCGAGGCGATTGAGGCATTCCGAGGGGGGATCTTATTCTCTCTTCTCCGGAACAGCCCAATTGTGTTGTCTTACCCGACCGGAGGATGATCCATCACAAACCATCACCATCAAGATATGTAATTGTACGGAGAATACGTGCCTGGCTGGCTGTTGTACCACCCTCCTTCTACGCCCATCACTCTATCAATGCCACCACCGATCCAGTCCAAGACAAACCCCCAGTAGTAATATCGAGAAGCAAATAACACCCCCAAGAAGAACTCAACAATGGTCCTGAGATTTCGCCCGCCCAAGCAACTAACCTCGATCGATCTCCATCTTTCATCCTGTCGAATCTGAGCTTGCCGTGCCAAACCCTCTCACGCTTCACCCCACTCCATCTGCACACAGCAAGATCGAGTAATGGTGAGTGGGGGTGGGCAGAGAGGCAGTCTTTGCCTTCAGTCTCCCTATCGTTGCTTCACTCTCAAGCCCGGGAGGGAGTGAATGCCCTGCCAGCCCATCTGACCAGCCATCGCTGCCCGAAGGGCCCCGTCCTAGAGAAGTTTAATCATCACGATAATCCCGCATGTCGCGTATGCAAGCCCTCCAATCCTTCACGATAGTGATACCTTCCCATCGTCTCTGTCACTCTTCGGGAGAACGCTTGCCCCCCCCCCCTCCCGCCTCCCCTTCTTCGTTTCTTTCCGATTTCCCAGCTCTATCTTCCGATATCGCCATTTGCCCCCCTCTGTTTGGAGGCGCAGGAGGGCTCAGATCGGCTGTATCGGTCATCCTCACCTGGCAACTGACACGGACACTGACATTGACAGTTGACATTGATGACCCTGAGCCGGACAGACGGATATGCAAGAAGCACTGACTTGACTGCCTCTGCCTATCTGCTTCTTTTCGCCTTGCTTTGAGGTGAGCCCCCCGCCGTGCCTGTTTGACACCTTGACATTTGATGCCGCTGTACCGCTCACCACCTACCATCTCTTCGCATTCGCCTGCCTACCTGCCAGGTCAAGCTTAACTATACCGATCATAACATCCGATTCCCTATGAATTATCCTATTCGTCCTATCGTCTCTGCTCCCCTCCATACGCTGAAAGGATTGACGAGAAGCCCCTCCTTTCCGCCAGCATCTCGATAGAATGAGAACCTCTACATTCTCCATATGGAGTTCTGCATCCAACCCTCAATTACCCGCCCACGACCCCTCATCCCCTAAACTCCCCCACCCCCACCAACCACACTACAATTGGATAGGAACTAGAAACAAAAAAACAGGAACAGGCACAGGAACAAGAACCTCAGCCCTCAACCCTCAACCCTCGAACCCCTCCTTCTCTCCCTTCCCGTCCATTGCCCTATTGACACATTGTCCCCTCCTATAGACTCTCTTTAGAGCAGTAAGTATATCCCTCAAAATCTACTCTCGGGTCAACACGGATTCTTCTACGAGGAAAAGGAAGGTCAAAGCCATCATCATCACTACCTAGTGCCTACCTATCTACATTGAATGATTTCCAGAGACTCCGTATGGATAACCTACCCAGGGCGGACTCTATTCCCTGGCTCTCCACCCCACGACCAGACAAAACAAAACAAAACAATAAACATTTCCGCCCTCCTCCACTACAGTACAGTTATACAACGGAATGAAAATATACATCGATGAATCCGATCCACGAACCGGCCGAGAATACTCCTAATGCCCCGGAGCTGGAAACAGTAACAGTCCTCACTTACCTACCCAGGTAGCCATTCTTAAGGTAGCTATATTGAATCCCGTAATTGTATATCATGTACAACTCACGACTACAACTACAACTACAACTACACTACCGTACCAGAGTAAAGACCAAAAGAAGCCGGGATGGCGGGGGATGGGGGCACGATCCTCCCCAATCACGCTCCCCCCCCCCACCGGCAACAATGAAACAACGCAACAATAAAGAAAAAAACAACGGGAATGTCAGTCGGGAGTTTCGGATACGAGAACGGATGGGCAAAACAGAAACAAAAAAAATCATTCCTACTTGACAATTGCAATTTCTCGTTATTCCATCCACTCCCAAAATGCGGCAGAAATGCAGAGAAGGAGGGTGAGTGAGGGGTTCTGTTTATCGGTCAGGTACCGGGCGCCGAAACAACCAACCCCCTCCCTCATCGTAGAAACTTTCTCACCACATGTGTATGCGTGTGTGTGTGTGTGTGTGTGTGTGTGTGTGTGTGTGTGTGTGTGTGTGTGTGTGTGTGTGTCATTCTGACATCTACTTTGTACCCTCATGCATCACCATCATCATCCATCCTATTCAGATTTCGGAAAGATGCATCAGAAGAAAAAGCAGGTTTTGGGATCCTTGATCTGACTGTTAGTTCGACATTTAATGATTTAGAAATTGCGCCGTGAGTCATTTAGGCCCATCGTGATTGATCCGAGCACAAGGACAGACACATAAACAAGACAAGACAAATAGCACCATGTAATGCAAGATCGTATTCTTTCGTTCTTTTCTAGCTACTACGATCATGCATCAGGATCCCCTCCTTCTCCCCCTCCATCCCGGAATCTTACCTCCCCCTCCTGATTCCGGCTCCAGCTCGTGGAGGATGAGGGGGCAGGAAGAACTGGATGTCATCACCCAGTCCCGGAGATTTCCGGCTGCAATGTCGAGAATAAGTGGAAAGAATGGACAAGTTGATGTGGTGAAGGAATAAGATCAAGGAGGTAGACGGTAGACAGGTAGGTATGTATGTATGTATGTAGCGCCATCCTCAAAAACGTGACAGGACTCTCGGGGTCCCAGAACAGAGTGGATATCAATGATAAATCAACCAGTCAGTGATAAACGGGGTGTGTGGAAACATGGAAGGTAGGAGAAGCAAAAGTTATGAGGATGTTCAGCAAGAAAGTAACAAAACGTCAGAGGAAATATATCGTATCATGAATGCTTCGAGTTTCTCATGCTCATTAGAACCGAATTGACGAAGGGGAACGAGGATCAGCTTTTCGCGCTTGCGCTCTGATACCGTTTCCCTCTTCCCTTTAAACACTTTAAACACCGGATCCGAATTGAAGTCGGTTCGCCATGTGCCAACTGCATGCAGATTAGACATGACAATCCATAAAAAGCAAGGTGGTAGAATGCAGAATCCCAAGTCGTAAAATTCGTCAAGCCAAGGCCATCAAGGTTCTTCGTCCCCTGAATGCCAGTCAATGCCCACTGGTCACAATTCCTACTCCCCCTTCAGGCTTCCGATCAGATTACGGAGGGCATCTACAATGACCTCCTCATCTTTTGGTTCACCGCCGGGGAATGAGCTGTCCGTTGCGTTGCCGAGTACACGGGCTCGCGCACTCTTGAGCACCTCCCGGATGTAGTTCTTATCCTCGTAATCCTCCATGAGAACAGCCTCGAAATCGTCGATGGCCTTGTTTGCACGATCATTGAAGGAGGATGCGTCCGAAGAAACCATATGAGCTGGACCGGGGCCAGGGACCATACCCATGTTTGGCTGATGCTGCATGGGAGGCCCCGAGGGTGGCCCCGGGGGTGGCAGGGGCGGAGGATGCGTTTGATGTGTTTGATGCGCTGGATGTGGCGCATTGGACGGAGGCATTGGTGGAGGATTTGGCGGAGGGTAAGGTGACTGATGTTGGGGTTGTGGAGGCATTGATTGCGATTGCTGTTGCTGCAGCTGCACCAGCTGCGGCGGCGGATCGGACGCATACGGTGAGGTGTAGGTGGAAGGAGTGGTCTGAGCGAAGGCGGGCGGAAGGTTGTTGCGGAGCGGACTGGGTATTGGAAACGGGGTCGAGGCGGCGGGTTGAGAAGGCGGGGGATAGGGACTCGCGTGATGGGGTGCCGGAGGAGCAGGAGACGGAGCGGGAGCGGGAGCGTGGGTGTGAGCGTGAGTTGCATAGGGGTTGGATGGCATAGCAGGGAATTGGAAGTGCGGATTGGCCATGCTGGGCTGTCCATTTGGCTGAGTGCCATATGATGGATTCAATGCAGGCATGTACGAGGGAGGAGCGGGAGGCGGCGGCTGCGCCGCTGGCGGAGGAGGTGACGGGCGCCTCTTCTTCTCCTTCTCAACAGAAGCTCCAGGGCGGAGCTGCCAGGACCATCCCTTTCCATCCCGCTCAGCATGCATGAAAAGATGACTGTTTCCATTGAGGTTGTGCCGTACACTGGACGTCCAACCTTCGGTTTCGCACTTGAAACGGAAATATGGATATTTCAACTTCAACGCTCGATAGATCTGCTTGAGTGTCATCGGAGTACCAGCCTCGGTGAGAGCATCGAAGATGAGAACGGCGTAGTTGTAAGGCGGCTTGGCCAGATCCTCCGGGGTATATGCTGACTCGGGAGGATAATTCGGAGATGGTGACCGCGAGGGTTTGCGCTTCTTGACAGGGGGGGCTTTGATGAACTCCTCCGGGCGATGTTCCATAGGATACTGTCCACCTTCGGTGGAAGGTAGGGGAAAGTCCATAGGAGTGCCATCGGGCTTCTTTCTCTTGGTATACTTGCGTTTCTCGGGTTTTGACCCAGGTGACTCTCCGCCCATCTCCTTGGGCGTAACAGCCGCCGTCGTTGAGGCTGGAGCCTTGCCAGCTTTCGGCCGGCTCCCAGGCGGAGGAGTAACACCTCCATTGGCCTCGCGCTTCGCTGCCAATTTTTGTTCTCGAGCCAGTTCTGCTCTTTCTCGCTTGGACATGATGCCATCCTTAGGAGGACGCCCGGGACCGCGACGTCGGATCGGTTGTAACGCCGGATCGATAACTCCCTCTACAGAAGGCATTGGTCGCGCCGAGTCGGGCTCTCTGGTTTTTAGTATGAGTTTCGTTGGCGGTCTAGGAGCGTCCTTATTATCCGCAGATTCGGACGGACCCCTCTGCATCTCAACTTCGTCTTCAACTGCAGGAGCTGGTGTCTGAGAGGTTTCCTCCCCTGTACCCAGGGGCTCCTCGACACGGTCAGCACCAGTCTCACCGATTGGCACATCTGGTAATAGAAAGCGAATGCGAACACCTCCAATCTGGATGTAGTCGCCGCTATGTAATGGTCTGATCTGACCAGGCGATAACCAATCTGCACCAATGAACGCGCCATTTCGTCCCATGACTTCCATCTCAAACAGATTCTTATCAAAATTATAGGCGATCTTGACATGTTTGCGGGAGATACCACGGTGGCCAGCGGCACTGCCGTCAACGGTGGCGGGAGGGTGAATGGGGATTGTCGGACATGCGTCAGGCGAAGGGAGCAGCGCAAGAGCATCGACTGGCTTTGCATCGCCGTTTTCTTCATTCAATGACTGCATCGCTAGGGCATTGTAGTCGGTGGTGTTGTTATCGGTTGATTGAAGTTGAGCTGGAGTAGCATGCAGCGGAGCGCCCGATTCCGCATGGGAAGAAACCGACGATCGCCGGCTGAGACGAGGAAGATGGGAGACATCGGGATCGAAGCCCATAATTCCACCACGGTCACTGACAACGCTGCCCATCATACCGCTGCCTTCATGCTTCACACGGACGGGGGTATGCGACATGTTTCCACCACTAGAGCTCTTCGCTCGCGTTGTCCTCATTGCCTGTCGAACTTGTATTTCGCGTTGATGCGCAGCGCGAGCGGCTCGTACATCACGACCAAGGATAAAGGAATAAGTGTTGCAATAGAAATGACCGTCATCGAACTCAAGCTTCGCAAATGCTTGAATCCGGGGTTCGGAGCCGGTGACAGAACCCGAGCCATCATGCGGTAGACCCGAATATCCAAGTGCGGAGAGATCGGCGCTCTGCGATAGATACGCGTCTGTAAGCATCTCATTGTGTTGCAATGCATCGAAGGGATTCTTCGAGGAAGACGACAGATCGAAGGGTGTGAAAAGATCAGCATGGTCGATGCCGCCTTTCGCGAAAAGCAATGGATCTGTGAGGCCGTCGATTGAATCGTTCATCTTAACGGTCGGGTTCGTGTCTTCTTCGGGATTCGTCAGGGCCATATCGGGTTGGGGGTCGAACTTTTCGTCCTGCTGGTGATGCGAAGATGGCTGGGCAGTCGATGTCGGCGGGATTTGATCCGCGCCTCCGCCGGTCGAGTCGGCAGGCGCAGTGGCCATAGGCTCTGAAGTTGAATCTAACGTCCATTGGAGATTCGATTTATCGTCGACCTGGTGCGGTTGATCCGTCGCTTGCGGGGCGGGTGGCATTGGGTGGTCCTCAGACGGCGATGGACCGGAGGAGGATTGATTGCCAAGGAGCTGGGCCAGCAGCGCACTGGCGGCGGACTGACGACGGAGATCGGATTGGGAATCATGCGGCGCAGGAGATACTGAGGATTGATCGTCGGGTTCGGATTTGATTGTGGTTGAGGAAAGAGCGGGTAGGCCATTGGGGGACGAGGCATCGAGGGGATCGGGGACAGGATCTTGCAGAGCGCGGATTGCGGAGTCGTTGGGCGGGGATGAATGCGGTTGAGGGTCAAGATGCTGTTGCTGGTGCTGGTGCTGCTGTTGTGATCGAGGATAGTCGTACACGGACGACATATCCGGGGCAGCATCCGGAGGACGATGGCCCACCGCTGGCGCTGTCATGGTCTGCGACGACGACATGACCGGCGGCTGGTCTTGACGGGGGTCGAGTAGGAGAGGATTGGGGGTGGAGGGAGACAAGACGGAAGAGGAGGAGGAGAGAAGTCGAGGGCGGTGAGCCCGTCTCCCGGCCCAGGACGGCCTCTGACTGGTCGGCGAAAAGTAGTGCCGGCGATATTTTTTTTTTTCATGGAGTTTTTTCTGCCGCTTCCGGTGACGGGATGGACGGTACCTTTTAGGGAAATTTGTATGGGGAGAAGGTATTACTGAGGGATTTCCACGTAATCGATTGGTATGGGCCGTTTATCCTTTACCCAGTCTATTTATTGCTTGGTTCTAGCCTCTGTCCATCAGGCACATCTTAAGAGGATAGGATACCTCCTGCAGCGCACGACAGCTGGCACTGCTTCAGTTTCTGGTCCAAGTACTCCGCAAACCCTGGAGTGTTGGAGATGGCTGATTCACTCCCGACATGCAGAAATGGGCGACTCGGAGTATACATCCCATTGGACTGGTCTTTGTGCAGAGGGTGAAACACCAGCATCCAATTCATTGCCTGGGGCGACGGGAGGTTTCAGACGGGTGCTAGGTACGGAGTAGACTTTTTCTTATCAGCTGGCAAAGACCCGATTCGACATGCAATGCTTGACTTTTATCTATGTTGGCAATTTCTTCGCAAAGTTGTGATAGAATCAGTCGAAACAAGGTCATTCCAAAATCAGTCTTTGTTGGTCTTCGACACTGACCATAGAAGTTGAGCTTCCATAGATTAAAAATAACTAAAGCCTGTTCGTTTGTAGAGTCACATAATTTTTCAATTCAGGATATTTACAAGCTTCGGGCGTTTCTATGCTTCTGAAGTCTTCAGTCCTTGGATTATCTCTTCTGGACTATAAGTACCTATACATGAGACCTTTCATCATGTGTAGAGTTACCTTATGCTCAAGCTACCATACGGTCCCCTCACAGTACAGTACACGGAATTCCAATTCGCAACCACGGAGCACTTTATTCAAGAATTCAATATACAACAGACGCTCAAGGGTAACAGATCAAAGAACATGCTAGGTAGGTATCAGTCTTCCAAATCAATACCCGCCTATCATCTCCAACCCGCCCAGCCTCTTGCCTGCACCCCAGATCTCCCCCTTCCGGGGTAGAATTGGAAGAAACAGCCTACCGCCTACTAACCGATCCATACAGCAGAATCTGGACTATTTCCCCTCACCTCTCATCCATATCAGCATCCACTCAACCTGAAATAAGGTAGAGAGCACACCGTCCCTATTTACATATAACCACCCGCCAACTCCAACCCCCTCCAATTCAACTTCAACTACACAGTCTGCTTCTTATATACAGCACATTTCAATCCCCATCCCCATCCCCATCCCACAAGAACCGAACAAAAAAAAAAAGAAAACCAAGATGCCCAAAAAACCCGCACCACCGCCAACAACCACCTCCAAACCCAACCCCAAACCCAAACCCAAAACCAAACAATCCCCCGCTACAATCCCCCCCAATGCATCACCAACCGCCCAAACAAGAATCCCCTGGCCTCCTCTGACCCCATCCCCCAAGAACCCCTTCTACCACCCCACCAAACCCACCCTCCACCTCCTCATCCCCAACCAAGCCTACATCATCCCGGAGTTCTTCCCGGCCCCCTTGTGCAAAACCTACACCACCTTCCTCGCCTCCCTGCCACTGGTGACCACACCGAACAAACCCAAGAAGGGGGACGCGGTGCGCGTCAACGACCGCTTCCAGGTCCAGGATGACGGGTTCGCGGCGCAGTTGTGGGAGTATACCTGCCTGCAGCGGTGTGTGACGGGGAAGACGAATCCGGTGGAGGAGAGGTTGTACTCGTATGATGATGACGCAGAAGAGGAGGGGGCCGGTCAGATCGACCGGGAGGAGGATGATCTCAGCAAGAATGGGATGTGGGGTGGGGAGCCGTTGGGGTTGAATGGGAATATTCGGATTTATCGGTATACTAAGGGCCAGTTCTTTGATAAGCATTGTAAGTTTGATCTGTCTGCTTCTTGCCTTCTGTTGAGGCCGGGGGGAGGGGGAAGGGGGGCGGCATCAATTGAAGGGATCGGTGATCAAGCGACATCTTAATTAACCTCGTCAAATAGACGATGATTCCAACTCCCTTACTTTCAACACGCCAGAGCAACCGGCTAGGCCGGCTCGCACGACATGGACCCTACTCATCTACTTGACGGCTTGTGAGGGCGGAGAGACTATCTTCTACCCGGAGCCCACGCGGAAGGACCGCAACCCCCAGCCGGTCTCAGTCAAACCCGTGCCGGGTATGGCGCTGCTGCATCGACATGGCGAGCATTGTATGCTGCATGAGGGGGCCGAGGTCCGGAGCGGGGAGAAGTGGGTGTTGCGGAGTGACCTGGTTGTTGCGCGGTGAAACCACTTGTCTACCCATCACGACATTCGAGTCAGAAAGCTTCGAGAAAGTACTGTACTCTACCGGAAGTGCTCTACAGGCCTACCACGACTGACCCAAAGAATATGTATCCACCATTGTCAAAGACATATTATGAACAAAGAAAACACCCGGACAGACACCGGACCACACCGGTGCGTCCACTATCAGACACATAAACAGGAGGTTGCATCTGTCTGAAAATCCCATAATGCCGTGGCAAAGAATAAGTAAAAGACCAATGTTTCGCCAATGAACCGGAGGGCAGCTTTTCTTCAACCCCATCTTGCATGTATCTCGGAACCCACATTTCTCCAGGCAGGGCCCAGGAAAAGCATCAAGTACATTGAACAGAAAGATAATAAAACATAACCCCACCCCATAGCACCTTCCCAGTTCGCGTATCCTCGTCTAAAAATGTTTGTATGCTAATCATGACTGGTTTGGCTTCGACTCGTACTCGGCCCGTCTCATAATATCCTCCACGGGACCCAGTAACCGCTTGAAGCCATCGCGACCCAGCCGAGCAACCTTGACCTCCGAGCGGGCAACAATGCTCGCAGCCCGAGGCTTGTCGTCCAGCAATGCCAGTTCACCGAAGTAATCACCACGCTTGTAGGATTTGACGACTCCGTCCAAGTCCTTCTTGAACGCATCGGCTTCACCAGCCTCAAGCAGGTAGAAGGCATCGCCTGGATCACCCTCGCTGATAATGGTCGACCCAGCGGGGTATTTGCTGGCGTCCAGCGCATCGGCAATCTTGGACCGTTCGTAGGGCTTGAGGCTGGACAGGAGAGGCACTTCTTCCAAAAAAGCCTCGTACATACGACGACGCTGGAAGGCCGAATCCATCAGAATGCGGCGGAAGGTGATGCGGTCCAGGGCCCAGAGAGTGCTCTTCGGATCCACGGAGACGACGGTCGCGGCACGGGGAGCATTGTACATGAGAGCCAGCTCTCCAAACGAGCCTCCAGGGCCAATGGTGCTGACTTTGTTGCCCATACCCTCGGCGCCTGGCTGCACGGAGCCCGAAGGGTGGATCAGAACGTCAAAGTGGCCTTCTTCAACGATGTAGAAATAATCTCCCGCATCACCCTGTGAGATGACCTTGATGTCTTTGGCGGGAATAGGCTTTTCCACCAGCGCGTCGAGCACAGTCTTGAACTGATCGTCATCCAAGTGGGCGAAGAGGAAGTTGTTGCTGACGGCGGTCTTCAAGCGTGCGATTTGCTCATCTGATTTGGGGTGATGCGGCGGGGCCCAGCTGTCCGAGCCAGCTGAAGTGGGATTCAACGACTCTGCTGACACCGATGTCCTCCGTCCCAAGGCGTAGTTGTTGGGGAGGCCAGGGTTGGGGACGCCCGTCGGGCGGATGTCGCCTGGTGGGAACTCGTCGGCGGCCTCGTCTTCCTCGCGCGACCCATCGTCGAATGGGCTTCGGGTGTTGAAACGAATGGCACCACCATCACCGAAACCACCGCCCGTGAACAAGCTGTTGCCGGTCGAGGATGAGGCAGCGGCGGGAGCATTGGCGGAGCGAAAAGTCGGATCGGTTGGTGACGTCACCTCATACTCGTCCTCCTCCGAAATCTTGTGAAAAGTGGCGGGCTTGCTGTCGTCTTTTGTGCCCACGCGAAGGGGTTGATTACCCCCAGGAAAAGTGCTCTCGGCCATTCTCTGGAGGAAAGGGCTGGAGAAGGTGAAGTTCCGGCCTGTGTTAAGCGGGGAAATTGGACGCTCGGGCGACCACGATTGCAGCGGCCGCGATGGAGGGGAAGGGCTCGTTTGAAGTAGATCGGGAGCTAAATTTGAGTCGACTGGTGGGAGAGAACAAGACGGATGTCGAGTTTTGGATGGAGAGGAAGGATATAGAAGAGGAGCGGTAGTCATGGGAAAGATGTAGGAGAGAAGATTGGGGAAAAGAAGGAAAGCTCAGAGAAAAGAGGAGGGGGGGGGGCGTGGGAGGGGAACAGGGTAGCAGCAGGCTAGTAGCACACCAGCAGCAAAAGCAGCAGCAGCAGCAGACGGAGGGGGGAAGAGCTGAGGAGGGGCGGGTAGAGAAACCGACCAGCCCGATCGCTGAATGAGAATCAAAAGTGACGGATGGTGGTTGAGGTGGGGAAGACTTCAGCGGCACACCAAGGCCTTATTGGATATTCTGGCTTCGAAGCTCGGGAACCTTTCCAGATCGTTTGATCCTTTTGCGTTCGTTGGTTGGTTTGAAGTTGCAGCTTGCCGTGGAAGCTGATGCAAACCGCTTAAAGTTGAGAGATTGAGAGATTATCGGATTCCACTCAAGGAAAATTAAGAGCTTGGCTTGTAGAGGAGTAGGAGTAGGTATAATTCAGGATCTCCAGAGACACAATCGAAACAGTCTAGGAGTAGAACTGTGACAGGAAAGGATGACAGTGAGACGGAGGAGAGAATTAGAAAATTAGGTGTAGTAGTTGCAGTAAGTAAGTAAGTAGAAGTAGGAGGAAGTAAGAGTGAGTAGTGAAGTCACCAGCTGCAAGCTTTGGGAGGGGCACCACCGCTCAACTTAAATCAAGGGTCGCGTGGGAACTTGCCTGCCGGAGATGAACTAATTCTCTAGGTAATCAACTAACTAGTAGGAATTATTACCTACTAGAATTATCACCTAATGAGAAAAGAAAAAGGGGCAAATACTCAAGATGGTGTGTAGCGCGTTATGATGGTGGTGGTGGTGCGTGTGTGTGGTGGTGCTACCGTCTACGTGATCTAGAGGGGTCGTCGCAGGAAAAAAAAATAGGGATCACCCAGAGAAAAAAGGAGGGAGGAAAAGACACGAAACCGCGGGAAGCAGCAGCAGCTCGCTCCATAATCATCTTCAGAATACCCTTCGTGCTCAGAGAGCACCTTCGTGGTGGTCTATCACCTGCTTCCTCTACCTCTACCTCTTCCTCTTCCTCTGCATCGAACTCCCCAGCGTATCTGTGTCTTCGTTTCTCTCCAAGGACTTTACCCACTGTGATGTCTATCAAACAGAGTGGAACTATCCGATGAACATATTGTCAGTGGACTCCTTATCCAGTCGAGCTAATGGCTTCCATTCTCCTTCTAGAACAATTCAACCCCCTAATCAATCGGGTCTCGCGACTAGTAGCCCGTTGATTCCGTCAATAGCGGAGGTGGCCGGGTCAATAGTCTACTTGAACGACCACAAGAGTGGTTAGAAAGAGGAGGGTGAGTGGGGAAAGCCTTGCCTGTGACCTTCCTCTCCTGATCCGAATCTAAAATAAACCGAAACTCACGACGATGAGAAAAAGGAGACGACGGGGCACCGCAAAAGATGGGGAGGTCAATCCTTCAGTCGGGAACGGAAATGGCGTCGAAGGTTCGCTTTGGTGGCCAAGGGGCTTCCAGATTTCTTCTAGAAACATGGTAATTCATTGCGCCACCAGAGGGCGGGGATAGCTTTGGCACAAGCAGGAGTTGGATGGGATCCAATCTGGAGGATGTTGTGCAATAATCGACTTGTGATCAACCCCAACCCATCCCTTTTTTTTTTCGATTTTCTCCTTAATCAGGCGAAGGACATTCCCAATTTCCATTGAGTCTCTTTTTTGTTATCATCCACTGTTTACCCATCCACTGCTTCCCCACCGTTAGATAGAACTTCAACGAGGTCAACATCTCCTCGACGTGCTGCTGGTGGCAAACTTGTTGTCGAAAACGGTGCTGGTTCCCTTCGGATGATCTGCTCGCTGAGGTCATAGCCTGACAAATCGATGCCATTCATTTAATTAGTCTTTGTTGACGTTTGCTCGGGACGGGCCCCTTTTCTGTATTTTGGGTCAATGGATGTCAAGATGCCATCATGAGGGGATTTTTGAGATTCTGTCTTTCCAGTGTTGCTGCAAGGAAGTCTTTCCCTTCATCGCACGGCCATGAAGGAGACCATGGATGGTGGATTATTGATTCTGGCCGGGCCCTCCTTCTCGATTCCCCCATCCCATTCCTGACTGAGTTAGACTAGGCGCCGTCACCGTTTTATCTCATTCAGGATCGCCGTTTTTGAGGGAATCATTTTCGGTTTAGTGTGAGAGTCCGTGCTTCCCTTCCCTCCCGAGTCCCGAGTACCATTGACAGAGTGCGATCATGATTCACTGCCTATGTGCATGTATAAGATACCTTCTACATACCTTCTACACACCTAGATACTCACCTACACACCTACTCACCTACACTGTGCGCAGATTGCCTGCCCGCTTCAATTGAATTGATTGCGCGTTGGATTCTGGTTGCCCTGCAGAATCTGGTCACATCCGAGGAATTGGCTCTGGAATGAATGGTGGTGGGGCCAAGGAGCTTGATATTCTGGTGACCTTGATTCTTCCTTCCGAGAGGGATGCTCAGGGTGCTTTTATCCTTGGTTGTTGTTGTTGTTAAAGTTTTCCCATGAAAGTTTTGATCCCATACAACAAGTGAAAGAATTCGGTTATCGGAATAATCATAATCGGCGGCGGCAGCGCCTTCCCATGCTTGTAACAAAGGTTCTGATGACTGATAAGACACGCCAGCTGTCAGTACGGGCACGCACAACTTGGCTGAGTTGTACAGGCGAGGAGATTTGTTCAAGTGTCAGCCAGCACGCATCTAGAACCTGAAGGCGGTGATAGAATACGCGCCAACCACTCTTTGACCCTGCGATAGGGATCCGCCAGGTCCCTTGATGTGCTGTTTCAGCCTGGGTAAGGTCACCAATGAAATATACCCCAGTGACTAGATTAGTTGTCTGTGCTTGGGTTTAGGTGTTCAGTGTTCAGTGCTCAGTGGTCAATAATTATTGAAGTCTATGAGTGAATGAGTGAGTGAGTGTGTGTGTGTTAAAATGAAGTGTGTGACTGCTGTTGTTGGGTTGTGGCCGCCACCCCGCTCGCTCCAGGCAATCAAGTCAAATCAATCCAATTCGAATTTCCCAGCCTCCTCTACATCGTCATTTTCTCTCCTCTCCTTCTTCTCTACCTTGTCTACGCCCGTACCTACATAGCAGAACCCCTTCGTGGCTACGCAGGAATTTATCTTTGCTTTCTTTACTCTACTGTGTATTCTTGTTTTATTCTCTGGTCTTTTTATGCCGCTTGACCAATATTGACCTGTCTGAAATATTTACCCCCACTGAAAAACCCCGACAACCTACTATTTTTTCCGCATCCACTTCCTGGGCGCAATTTACCCCCCCCCCCCCTCAAACCCTCATCTCCACTATAGAAGATGGGGACTTATACGTTTCGATGGTAAGTTACTATTGATCTTACCTTGCGATCAAGAAAATCTCCTTTCTCCAGTGCGAAGCCTGGACCTCCAATGAGCATCTCTTGTGAAGGGTCTATGACAGGTTCTGCCCCGTGCTTCCTACTGCTATTATGACCGACACTTTCCGGACCCAGCGCCACTGATTTGTGTTCGCTGACCGTTGCGGCCCCTCGCATGGGGAATCAAACCAGGCCGTATAATGCAAACGAAGTGTATGTGACGGGGACATTCGATGACTGGGGCAAGACTGTCCGACTGGACCGCAATGGGGAGGTGTTCGAGAAGGAGGTTGAGCTCCCAGCCACAGAGGAGAAGATCCAGTATAAGGTAAGAACTTTTTTCCTCCGCTCACTCTCTCTAGCTTTGCCCTGCAAGCCCCTGCCCAACCTCTTTCCCCCCCATTTCCCCATTTTCCTATTGTCCCATAACTCAAGACGGACTGTTCCTTCACCGGGGCGGCGGAGGATTACGTGCTGGGCTGATCGCCCTTATCGAGGGACGGGTGATGACGCTCGGTGGGTTGCGCAGAATCGCGCTGACGTCATGGCACGGCCGTCGAGCCCGCCCCGTCACTGGTTTTCAAAATATAAGACTCGCACAATTGTTGGTTTGCGCCATCAGGAGATCCACTAACTGACTTTGTTTCTTTTCTTCTCGTGATTAAAGTTCGTCGTCGACGGTATCTGGACCACTGATAATCGCGTCCCCGAAGAAGACGACGGCGACAATAACATCAACAACGTGCTCTACCCCGATCAAATCCAACAACCACCACTACAGAACGGCATGGCCGGTGTAACCCCCGATTCAACCACCGCTGCTTTGGCGGCTGGGGTGCCTAAGGAGTCCAGCAGCAAGACAAATGGCTATCACCCCACCATCTCGTCAGCAGCACCAGGCTCGACAACTGCCAAACTCGGCCAGGAAGTCCCATTGGAACAACGGGCTACTGTGCCAGGATCCTTTCCAATCACTCCCGGGAGCGAGGCTGAACAGTTCTCCGTGAATCCCATCCCTGCATCCAGTGGCATTGGCAATCCGATCAAGTTGGCTCCAGGCGAGAAGGTGCCTGACCCCAGCACTTTCAACCCCAACACCGTTCAGTCCACCGCACGTCTCGACAAGGGTGCGTATGAGCAAGGCGCCAGTCTTTCTCGGACTGAAGATTCGTTGCATGATGGCAGTGCTTTCTCCCTTCCACCTGTAACGAAAAACACCATTCCTGAGTCAAGCTTGCCTATGGGCAGTGATGGGGCTCACGATGTCAAAGACCCCGGCTATACGATCCAGTCGGCTGCGCCCACGTCGACAACGGCGGCACTTGCTGCTGCAGTGCCCCTGGAGTCTCAGAAGCAGAAGCAGGCGACCGGTGATTCTCCCTCCGAGGAGCTTCCAGGCGTGGTTAAGGAGTCCCTTGAGAAGGCCCACCAACATCCCGAATGGGCTGCCAACGAGGAGGTCGTCGAGGAGAAGAAGGAAGTGGAAGAAGAGCTCCAGCAGAAAATCAGCGTGAACAATTCTGTTGGCACCCCAGCGCCTGCTATAAGTGCCGCTACTGCGGAGACTGCTCCCCGTGCTACTGGTGCTGAGCCTACAAACCAGCAATCCTCTAAGGCGAAGGCACCAGTCGATGGACCAGTGGTGACCACAGGTGTCGATTCTGCGAAGGCTCCAAAGGAATCTGGACCTGGCCCTATCCACGGTGCTTCTTCCTCTGTTCCTGCTGCCGGTGCTGTAGCCACCTCCAACCAACTGTCTCCTAAGGTCTATGACCCAAGTGAGCCAACTGTTACCACGGGCGTCGATTCTGCGAAGACTCCGAAGCAGTCCGGCCCCGGCTCAGCCGAGGACTCTTCTGCCGCTGCCCCTACTGCAGGTGTGACTGGCTCCAGTGCCACCAAGACAGCAGACTCAGCCGTCGATGTCGGATCAGCCTCTGCCGCTGGCGATGCTTCAGCTTCCGGCCCTACTGCTGGCGTCACGGGCTCCAGCGCGACTGGAACTGCCGACGACTTGGAGACCAACAAACCCTCAGAGCCCAAGCAGCTCGCCGAACCCAGCAAGTCCAACAAGGCCGACGTAACGTCTGCTCCAACTGCTGGTGCTACCGGCGCTAGCGCTACCAAGACGTCCGATTCAACTCCGGCTACCGCCAACACCAACAAGGATGCATCTACGCCGGCTCAGAAGACCGATGCTCCTACCAGCATTAACAACACCACTACTCCCGCCAACAAGACCACCAACAACGCTGCAGCTGGCGCAGCCGCCAATTCCAACAAGGAAGAGCCGAAGAAAAAGAAGAAGGGATTCTTCTCCCGCCTCAAGGAGAAGTTGAAGCATTGAATACATTAATTAATGACTGAGCTGAATCAGCCTATGGATGGGTTGATTTTTAACTAATGGTGTATAATGGGTGGAAGATTTCTTATATCGTTCTTCATGCTTCTGTGATTATCGTCTGGATACCTTTTGTGTTGTGTGATTTTCCTTCCATTCGTTCGCTGCCTTAGGTACTATAGGTAGGCTTATGGTTACGTATCACGAGATCAGTTCTATGATTTATGCTGTAATGAGCATTGCTCACTTTCACTCAGTACAGTCTGATATGAAGTACATCAGATATGATGTTCAAGTGAAAATATTATTAATTATGATTAACATCGCCCATCCACTTCTATCATGAACCCCTCTAACCAACCTCAGTCCTGAGTAAACCATGAATACCTATATCGGTATGGCATTACTAACGATCCCATTCACCTTCACCGGATACCCCAGCACACTGAATTGAACCGGTTAGCCCACTATCATCTTCCCTCGGAGAGTTCGTCTCAATAGAAGAGGCACATACTCCTTCCCCGTCTTCGTCAAACAACACCCGCAGAAGATCGATGCCGGGTAGCAGATCACCTGTATTGGAGCTTAATTAGAATCCCAATGCCTATTCTCCCCTTCGACTGACTCTCTCTCCTTCCAGATACAAGTAGAACCCAACGATGCGATGAAGAAAAGGGAGGAGACACATACAGCAGCTACAACCGTACAGATAAATCCTAAGCCCCCACGGAACAGGATCAATCCAGTCAGCGAAACGGAGCCCAAACACCACCGAATTGGTTTTCTGGGACAGGATAAGGATATACCTAAGGTTGGCCCGACGACTTTACAGCGGCAGGGGTTCTGGTCGGTGCCGCATTGGAAGCAAATCGGGAGGATGGGGAAGAAGGGGACGTCGCACATTTTTCTTCGTGGCCTTTATCTTTTGTGTCTGGTGTGGGAAAGAGAGGGGGGGTGCCTGGAGAGAGGGGGGATGAGGAAAAGAGGTGGATAGGGTGAGGTTGCGCTGGATGGGGATGCGCTTGGTCGTAAGTATTATTTCTTGTGCTGGCTGTGTACATTACGGTACTGTACCTGATTGATGCTTGGCGCGATTGCAACCTGTGCAAGTTCTAGTTGAGTTAGCCTTGCTTGTGGTGATGCGTTGCTATGTGTTGTTGCTGCTGCTGCTGCTGCTGCCGCCGCTGCTGCTGCTGTGTGTGGTGTGGTCGTGGTGGTGAGGTAATGCGGAAAGCATGATTCATTATGACGACAGTCTGGGGTTGTTGCATTGAAATCATGGAAATTGAGGTAGCATTGGGTGTATTACCGATTGAGTTAAATTTGTATGTGATGATCAAGCTGTATTACATGACTGTAATCTGAATTCGCAGGGCTGGTGTTGAAGAATCGTATTTGTGGTGCTTAAGAGTACTGTACTGTACCTAGTAGTAGTTGCTCTCCGCTAGTCAAGGATGTTATTTCCTGGAGGTGGCCGAATTGGACCTTACTGTACCTTGCATGCCCATCCTTCCGAACAATCCGATTGCTAGTCGCAAGTCTGTCTAGTAAATGTCGTTCTTATGAGTCTTCAGACCTTCTTGTACATGAATGTGTACATACAATGTATAGTATACACACAAGTTGGGACTCCATCCTGGACCGTCAACACTGTGTAGTTAGTAGTTCTACTCCGTACATGCAAAAAAAGCCCGCATTCGCCTGCGAGCCATACCTACAATCCTAACGCCTCTCAGGGTCTATGTTTGACATGCTAGCATGTTGATTATGGTCGCAAGCCACACACCACAAAATCGTCTTCCATAGAATCATATCAGCCCCCCCCCCCCCCCCCCGGAACCACCAGGTACAGCTCCGCGCAGCCGGCTCAACCCCAAACAGAACCACTCTTCACGCAAGTAGATAGCGAGGAAAAGATGCTTAGCATCTGAGCAGGTATTCTGGTCTTGCGGGTGCTACTGGTGACTCTCTCTCTCTCTCTCTCTCTCTCTCTTGCTCGAATCACAAGCGAGAAAGCGTAGTATACATCAGGCGAAGTTGTGATCCAATCGACCGTGTGCTTCGCCAAATCCGACACGATTGCTCGAACTACCCACTACATCATACCAAAACGGAGAACATGACATTCAAGGTGAGTTTCGAGGATAGACTTTCATCCAGATGGTATTCAGCCGTGGGCCGCTTGAAAATCGCAGACCTCGTGATGAGAGACATGCTTCCGTGGGCCATTGGCAGGGATATAGATTGTGATCAGATATCCGACATCATGGACGTGAATCTCCTCAGGTGTCAATCTGTCATGAAGCTCAGTTGCAAGAGTTGATGTCGTCCTGATTCTGATGCGGCGTTGGCATATTATCAATTTATGCTAGCTCATGAATTAGCCGATAGGCGAGATCAGGTATGTATTGATGCAATTCATGAGACGTCGCTGCGTTATCCCGATTTGCAATCTCAAGCTCTTGTAGACTGTATCTGGACCTGTGCGATGTGCACAAATGATGCTTGCCTCAGCACACAGAATAACAAGCAGTTCTAGCAAAGCAGCCATGGAGTTTGTGCAGAAGTCTATGCATAGATCCCAGTCATTGATAAAACAGTTACCGTGTCTGGACTGCACAAGGGAGAAAGAACAGGCTGAAGCGGATAATTCCAGTCGATAGGCAACAAACAATCCACACGGATACAATGCCCAAGTCAGCCCCCTCACCCTCTCCTGACTTATCTCCGAGGTCACATAAAATTAACTAGCCGTTTGGCCCCTCAATCAACACGCAGACAGGACAAGTAGTAAGCAACGAACCAACCCGGTCACTCCGCCTCTTTCCCAATCATTACTTCAGTAAAAGAGATTGTGCAACATCCAAGATACCAAAAATAACCACAATACATTTCCACCTATTCCAGAATGAACTGCGCCTTGCACCTGTAGAGAAAACCCAAAAAAAATGAAGCCGGAAATCCAGGCACCAGAATTTCCCCAGCGCTTGGCGCGAGGCTTGGCAGCGACCGGTGGTTGGCCCTACAGGGCGCATAAGTTATTATTTGGGACAGAATTGGAGGCAAGAACCGTAGGTGCAGTTCCCCATGCATTTTTTTTTTCATGTGTATATAAAGGATTACTTAGGGGTCCATTTCTTTCTCCCCCGTACAGAGTTTTTCATATTCTCACACTCTACCTATTCAAGACATACTTCTCCCGAGTACGGAGTACTGTACCTTGATAGCTAACGATCCCACCCACTCCTCCCGGCCAACGGCTAGACCTACCGAGACGAACCGGTTGATCGGCCGAACAAAGAACAAAGTGATTGGGGATTGATTATTACATCACTCGTCACCCATCGACCCATTCCGCGATCGCAAAACCAGCCCTACGCATTTTCTCACTCCTCTCACCAACAGTCGACACCTTACACTGCATCACACCGTCACTAGCCAGAGTACAACAGTACATCACATCCATCCATCCATATTTGATCCTCATCTATTTACACACCAAAACCCCTCAACCAACCAGGGAAAAGCATTCCCATCATCCAAGCGATCGGACCCCTCACATCACATCACAACACACCGCAGTCCCCCCTTAAAAAAGACAAAAAATGACCGCCCGCCTCACCCCCCTCTTCATCCTTCTGGGCGTCCTCCTCGTCCTTGCCGCCATCGGCTACGTCGCCTACTCCATCGTCCAGGACGTCTCGCGCCACACGCGCTCCAAGATGGAAGGCAAGAACGTCCTGGTCACCCGCGAGGGGATGAAGGTGGGCGTCCGCGAGGTCAAGGAGGAGGAGTATGTGGATCGGAGTCAGAGGTTTGTTCTTTCCTTTCTCTTCTCCCCGTTCGAACCCCCCGGATAGCGTGGTTTCTTTTTCTTTTTTTTGGAAAGAATCCCCTGGCTAACGAGCTCTTGGTGGCGGCGGCGGACAGCATCCTCGTCAACATGTGGAATCACACCTCGTTCCCCGCGTACAAGAGTCGCTTCTGGGATATGACCAAGCCTACGAATTGGGGGCAGGAGAGTCGGGTCGCCGAAAGTAGTAAGCGGAAGTGACTGACTGCCCTGGCGAGGCGGATGAGGGGTTGGAGGGAGCAGCAGCAGCAGCAGCAGCAGCAGGAAAAGAGGTGTCGTGCTTTTGAGCGCGCAACAAGATGAATAACAGCATCGCGCTTTGTACTCTAAGATGGGTATGCTTTGCTTTACCTTGCCTTGTATTAGGGAAGGGTGGATGATGTATGCATTATGCTGACCCTCGCTACCCTCTCTCTCCCGAAAGGAGCGCGAGGGCGTTAACGAGATATGATCGTTATGATACACTGAGTCAAAGATAACATGAACATTTGTTTGGAATTAGCTCTAAACCTCATTCATACCCGCCGTGTAGTCTTTTTGGCCGTCATCCCGCGGCTCGTATTTACATATTCTCATAATAGTCGTAATCCTGGTTCAACTTGTAGAACGGGTCCGGCTTGGGCTCGTTGCTGCCCCCGTACCAGGTCGGCGTCGTCAGCTTCTCCGGGGTATCCTCCCGCTTGGTGTCGGTGAAGAGGTACTCGAAGGTCTTGGCCCACTGCACCCGGTTGTTGAGCCCGTCCAGGTTCCACAGCTCCTGCAGGAAGTGCAGGATCGAGGTGTGGGTGTACGCCGAGTTGTTGGCGTAGCTTGTCCCTTGGTCGTGGATCAGGTGGTTGGCGGGGACCCAAGGGGAGATGAGGAACGCGGGGACACTATCGTTGTTCCTCCGAGTTAGCCAACGCACAGTGGTAATGAGGGGATGAAGGAGGACTGTAAAAGGTGGGCTTACCGAACACCCAATCGAGTGTAATCGTAGGTTACGTTGTGGCCGTCCGACACGCCGGAGAAAGTAATGCCATCCTCGGGCTGGGGAATATTGACAGGGGTGGGGACGTGGTCGGCGAAACCACCGTGTTCGTCGAAGTTGAGGACAATCAGACTAAATCGAATTGTCGCTGTCAGTGCTGGGAAGGCCATGGGAGACAATCGGGGTCCTTACACATTGTCCCAGTACTTCGACCTGCGCACCGCATCGTACAGATGCTTGATCAGCTGCTCGCCCGAGGCCATGTTGCTGGTCGGGTGCATGGAGTCGATGGTGCAGCACTCCGGGTTGTAGTAGGAGAACTGCGGGAGAGTGCCCTCCTCAAGGTCACGGTAGAACTGGTCGGAGTGAACCAGGCGGTCCATGGCATTGTCTTGCACCCACTAGAGAGCGGTAAGTATGCGAATCTGGAGTGACTGCGGGAAATTAGCATTACCTTGTACATGAAAGCATCGACAATGTCGGTCTCATAGTACTGGAAGAAGACATAAGCTTAGTTGATGTCCATGGTACACATCGGACGGTTATAGCTCACGTTCTTCCATGTGATGTTCTTCTGACTGAGCGACTCGAAGATCGAGGTGGCACACGTGGTACCCGTGTAGTTGGCATACCATCCAGCAGATTGGTAAGTGTTATCCACCATACCACAGGTGGAGCCCGAAGTAGCAAACTGACGGTTGGGGTTGGTAGGACCGGGGTGCTCCGCGTGCTGTTGCCCGTTTAGTACATCTAGACAGGCAAGACGCTTTGCAGAAGACTCACATAGCTATCCCAGAAGGCGAAGTTCTGGGCAACTTCCGCCAGAGTCGCCGTTTTCTTCTGGTCGTACGCCTTGATGACGAAGCTGGATTCACCGGGCGTAGCACTGTACTTCTCCGACTGACGTTCAATGAATCCACCCATGTTGGGAACATCATCCTTGGTGACGTTCCACTTGCGGAAGATCTCGTAGGTGACACCAGCGAAATTGTGATCCGGGTCAGTCAGGGGTACCTCGGTCTCAAATGGGGCCGCGCAGACGTTCAGAGGTTCACCCCAGACCGTCCAGTTGGGGTTCGTGTACTCGTTGCAGTAGTCGATGTTGCGCAAGTTGTCAATGTCCGGGTGAAAGTCCCAGTAGCCCGCAATGTTGTCGAAGGAGTGGTTCTCCAACATCAGATAGATAACATGTTTGATCTGCCCCCCCAAGTCAATCAGATGGCTGCAGGAGACACAGGAAACCCGGGAGCGAAGGTCCAAACCTACATTGGAGCGAACTTGATTCCACTGTGCACTGTTCCGCCTGTGGGGAACCGCGGTGGCCAGAGTAGCCAAAGCTGAGATCGTAGCCACGCTCAACTTCATCTTTGTTTGCGTTCAGTGTCTGCGGCTGCTCTTCGCCCAGCTTCGTTCTGGCTCTTCAGATTCCAGTTCCTATCTTTTCCTGCCGGAGGGGGGGCAGCGAGGTGCGATATTTATCTTCTTTCTCGCCCCTCTTCTCCCCTCACCATCCCCTAACTTCCCACGAGGCAGAAAGTAGCAGCGCATGCCGGCTGCTTCGGCACACACCGACATCCTGCGGAGATAGGCAGGTCCACACGCGACATTATTCGAGTAAGTCGTGCCGGTTTGTCCCAGGAACAGGATTTTTCCTTCTCTTTCTTTTCAGTTGCGATGATTGTTGAGAATGACCATGGCCAATGGCACGGGACAATGGACTGCACGCTGTGGAGTTGATTGCTAGCTCGCGTGAGACAGTCCACATTCGCAGCTAGAATGAGGAGATAGATAGGTATGGTCCGGATGCGCTCCGCTGCAGTTGGAGAATGAGGGGGGATGGCCGTGAGAGTCGACACAGGCGTGGGACAGAACAGAACCGTGCAGTTGGAGGTCGCGATTGCGAGATGTGCATCAGCTGCTCAATTGATTGGTCTCGATCAAGGGAGGAGAAGACTGGGAGGACGACTCTAGCCCGGTTCAATGCCCCGCTTGCAAGGAACGGACGGGTTGAAGAGGGTGAAGAGGGTCAAGAATGTGCGTGCTTAGTGGGTAGTAGTACAGCAATTGGTCCTCTGCAGCGCGCATCGAAGGCGGCGTAATTGCAGCGTGATTGCAGCGTGATTGCAGCGTGATTGCAGCGTGCTTGTTTATTGCATTAGAACTGCATGCGACTTGACTCGATGGATGGATGGAGGTGGTCTAGAAGAGTGCAGTGGAAGAAGTGCACCTGTGGGTAGCGAACTTATTCCTAGCAGATCCACTTTAGACCGTCGATTAGGAAATAGTCGAGTGTGATAGGCTAGAGTGGTCCAAGCTTCAGGTACTCCGCAGCCCCAGTGGGTCGAAGGCTGCATTGTCCCGGGGGTCGAGGCCAATCAGAACTGCACGTGCCATCCCCGCGACTGCAGATGACCGCCAGACTGTGAGGCACGTTGTCCCTCACTCTCCTTCCATAGGCCTTCTCATACCGGCACATGGCCGCCGATACCTTGTAGGTAACCAGGCACCTTGCCTACTACAGATGCTCGCTGAATGTGAGTGGAAGATGGGCATGATAATGGGCACGAGGGGTATTCTTCCTTCAGCTTGTTAGACATGCTCTTTTCCTCTTTTCCCCTCAGCTTCGACTGACGCCTGTCGCTCAAACCATATCTATGACCGACGGGCCCCGGCCGGACGTCGAATCTCGCCAGAGCTCACTCTGATCCATAGGACATTACATTGCATTGCCTTGATTTACTCCCCTATCGCTCACTTTTCGGAGCTGGACCACAAAAATCTCCTTTTCTTCGTCTCTTGCCCACCTTCCAAGTTCAGCAAAGACCCGTCGGGCGACTATCCTCTCCCTGTGGATATATTAATACCGGCCTCTGTCACACCGGCTACAATCTATCACATCAGGTCTCCAGCATTGATTCAATTCGAAGCGAATTTTCTCTTCTCTCAGACAGACGCACACACACAGCAAAGATGTCTATCTCCTCCATCAAAGGCTTGCTATCCAGCTATTCCCCCGTCTCCGAATTCTCCCCAGAGCATGACCTGGAAAAAGAATATCCTCTCTCCCTGCGACACGAGAGCGATAGCGAGTCCACAGCCGGCTCAAGCAGCTCAGTATGTCGGGAAGGAGCGGAGAAGAAAGAGTCCAAACTCATCGACGGACGCATCGTCTCCGACGCCATTATCGGTCTCTCCGACGGCATGACGGTGCCATTCGCCCTCACCGCCGGTTTATCAGCGCTGGGTGACACTAAGGTGGTCGTTTTTGGAGGCATGGCCGAGCTCATTGCAGGCGCTATCTCCATGGGGCTGGGCGGTTACTTGGGTGCAAAGAGTGAGGAGTAAGTAATGTACCCACTTTTTCTTTGGTGATTTACTTCCCGTCAATGTGTGAGGGGGCGAAAGGGGCGGGGAGGAGGCGATTGAAGCGGGGTTCGATGTGCGTCGAAAAGATAAGACCACCAAAAAAAAGCATCAAGCTAACATTTGGGTCTTTCCCTTTTTCTTCTTGACAGGGAGTCTTATCGCGCAACATTGAAAGAGACCAAAAAAGAAATCCAGAATGACCCCGCCTCAGTGACTGACACCATTGCCGATGTCTTTGCGTCTTATGATCTCCCTTCCGAATTGGTGGGGGAGCTCACGCGACACCTCTCCACCTCCCCCATGCTCCCTTCCTTTCTCATGAATTTCCATCATACCGTCCAGGAGCCGTCGGGGTCGCGGGCCTGGGTGTGTGCCCTGACCATTGCCTTGGGGTACTTCATCGGTGGGTTTGTGCCGCTCCTCCCGTACTTCTTTGTCGGACCCCATGGCGCCTTCTATGCCCTGCAGTGGTCGATCGCCACGATGGTGGTCGCTTTGTTCCTGTTCGGATACGGCAAGACGTGCTTTGTGAGTGGGTGGAAGGGATCCAGGAACATTCGGCGAGGACTTATCGGAGGCTTGCAGATGGTTCTGGTCGGAGGAGTTGCGGCCGGGTCAGCGATGGGACTGGTGAAGGGGTTCCAGATGCTGGCAGACGCTCATCAGGGACAACATGATCACCAATGATTCCTCTCTCTTTCTGTTGGCGTTATACTTCTGTCTTTCTTTCCTTGGGCGTTCAAGCGGGCTACAAAATGGGCGATTTCAACATGCATTGGATGATACCGGGCTATGGCTGACTGACTGTAGATTCCATAGATGGGTTATGGCATTGGTCAGCATGGATTTTGAGAGTAGAATGAGTACACCGAGTACATAGCTCTTGTGATTAGAATGAACAAATAAAGGAGTTTGACAACTCTGGTCACATATGGCATGCCAAGTGCAATGTAAGCCCGCACCAGCACAGCTTGCAAGGCACCGAGTAAGAAAAAAAAAGGCAATGCACCGTACCTGAAAGCAATAGCCCTCTGGTCGAAATGAAGCCTCCAACCTGTTCGACATCACTTCCACAATAAAATACTCACTCACGGAATAAGGTACCTAGGTACTGTACTGTACACATCGCATAACTCCGACGAACCACCCCCAAACCATGCGCAGCCAGCCCATTGACAGCCCACAGAGGACCCGTCAGGCTACCTTCGTACACACCGAGCATGACATTCTTCAACGCCTGGCCTCGGCTGTGCCAACAGAGCGTACCACCCAGCAAGTGTGAAACTAGGCATGTACATACATTCCAGCCCGTCACGAAACGAGGGTGCACTGCCACAAGCTGGCGCCTCAAAAATGAGCCTCACGCCCCCCCAGCCCCTTCCAGCCTTGCCAGGAATTCCGGCCGGCGATCAGGTCTAGGAGAATGTGGGGTAGGAAAGGTATTCGGCGGAAATGTACGAGTATCGAGTACCACGTATATCTATGTGGGCTTGGGGCTTGGTATGTGATTACTGGATGTGTTGGGCGGTGTGGATCTATGATTGTCTTTTGCGAGTGGACTTATGGGAGGGGGCAGTCACTGCTGCTGCTGCTGCTATTTTTCCATTGAAGACAATCAAAACAGGGAGGGGGCAGGGGGATGCGAAATTGTCTGTATGGATGGAAGAGATTAAACCTTCACAACACATAAACTTACAAACCTTATGAGCTCACGTACTTGTACCAATGCACAATGCAGATCAATGTCTTGAGTTCATTATGACTTATGCATTGTGATATGCACAAGGAGGGTGATCTTCGAGAGCGACAGAGTTGAGAGAGAAGGTTAAATGAGGGTTTATGCAACATGCTGGAGGACACCCCCCTTCTTTCGGCCGGCAAAGCTGGGCCGAGGCAAAGCGAGAAATGGCAGTGGGATTCAATAGCTAAACATTCAAACAAAGCGTTACTGCAGGCAATGCGGCATGACCTCATTGTTCTGATGGGTCTTAAGTACACTAGTCACTGATTGCCCGACGGGCACGAGGGCATCAGGTGATCGAGCGAGCTGCAGCTTTTTTCTTGTTCTTGCATGATGAAGCTCCATGCAATAATGCATGGGGCACCCCCATAACTACTCATACGAGTACTAATAAGTGTATGTGACTCCTGCTGTGGCAAGCGGTGAGGTCAAGAGCAGTAAAATGTAACCAGCAGATTCGACATCCGCGATGCTGCTGTCACTTGGAGATCTTGTTGTAGGAGGATCTACGGAGACCATTGATGTCAATCATGAACAAAGAGTCGAGATTCTAGAAGGAAAGAAGGACGAGAGGCGCAACGATCCGAATCCGGGATCGATCCATGCTGTTTTGTGGCTCTCCCGCTCTGGAGTGGGTTTTCTGCCCCGTCACTACTCCGTACCGTCACTGCCGTCACTAACTACTCGATGATGTCCGATGATGTCGATGACCCTCGCTCTCTCAGTCTCTCACTTCCCCGTATTCTGCTTCTTGGTTCCGCCCCGAAAGCAACCGTCCATGATGCAACGAGTTTGAGTCTGGTACAGTACTCTGTTACTGTACCTCTGGTTCGTAACGAGAAAGAGGTACGAGTAATTCCAGGCTTGCAAAAGGGATGAAATTACATGCTATGTGAGTAGTATACGATCGGCTTTCCAAGCCACAACGTTGTCCTGCTTGGCCCAAGCTCTCTCTACTGACCTTCAACACAGCCCAGTGCCCACCACCACCCCGTCCCCATCGAATCCACTCTTCATGCCAACAGGCAACAATAGTCAAGGGCTCGGCATCGTTAACTACGGAGTATTAGATTTGCTAGGATCAAACATGCCCCCCTCCTTTCTTCTGTGGTGCATACAGACGAACGAAAGGGGGAGGGGAGGGGAGCGTGAGTAAAACGAATACGAGGCAAATCCCCCAAGGATCATCTCCCGTAGAACCACGTTTTGATGATCCGACGCATTGTACAGTACAATCTCCCGTAAGTAAGGCGCAGCAACGAGGAGCAGCAGCAGCAGCAGCAGCAGCAACAACATCGGCTCCGTTAATTTTGATGGAACATACCGGTCGGAAATTTGCTCCAGTGTAAGCCCCAGCTCATCTAGTGTAAATGTGGTAGATTTTTGGGGGTTGTGTAATGCTCCCGTACGACGGAGATTCGAGGCTGATGGATGCTCAAGCAGTGCTGCCTGTTGAGGCTGGGGGAGAAAGAAATGATAGTCGGTTTGGACTGCAGGATTTCCCTTCTTCACCCTTTAATTTCAATTTCAAAGAAAGTAACAAACACCACGCGTAACCGTCGTCAGCCATTTTTGTTCTACTCAGTAAGCAATACACAAGAATAGATAGATGGAGGATGATGGGGAATACTGCATCTGGCTAGGTAGACCCAGAAAGCATTGCCTGTTGGCGCCTGAGCAGTTTGCCTATTCCAGGTCACTGGGACTTGTACCAGCCCCGGTCGGAATCGCGAGAATCAGCCGAAATGTACTGGACCATTAAGTAAGCGGATCGGGAAATCGTCCGCATGAGGCAGAGAGCCTGGGGAGAAAGAGAGAGAGTTGCAGTCCGATCGTGCGCCCCCCAGTCACAACGTTGCGATGAGGAGCAGCAACAGCAGCAGCAGCAGCAGCTGTAGCCACAGCAGCTGTGGCACTAAAGCCAGGGCAGGCACAACTCATTATGATTAATTTGGGGCGGAAGTCATGATGACGCTGCCTTGCCCATATACAACACAGCCCAACTAAGTCTAAGTCAGGGTCAATGCAGCGCACACCCTCCAATCTGCTGATCCAGCTGCTATGAGCTTGAACAACTAAAGCAGCCATCACAAACACGATGGTTTCAAATCAGGCGCGTGCTTGGGTGCATTAATGCTCTCGGATGCAAGAATGATCACGGCAAGCCGCACGACCGGACGAGGTGATCATTCGAGGGACCTGGGAAGGGAAAGGGAACAGGAATTGGTATGTATCGTATACACGCTGTACCGTACCAGACCGTAATCCACGGGGCTCAGAAGAGCAACTTCCGTTTCGCTCCATCCCGCTTGCTCTCGTGTGGTGAGTGTTCAACTAGAGGAGACTAGGTGTCTAATAATTCGTGACTAGACTGTTGCTTAAACACTCTAGACCTGCATATCATTTCTCCAGCCCTCGACCCTTTTGTTGCCATGTTGCCTAATTCCAATTCATAGATCGAAATCAGGGGAAGGAGAAAAGGCTGTTTGTTGCTCAGGGGCGGGCTGCGAATTGTGATATTCAGGAGGATTGGGGATTTTGTTGTGCAATCAACCAATCCTCCTGTTTTGTCCTTTCCCCAGCTTTGGAGAGGCTCAATGCGACCAGGGAAAACGCAACAACAGCTGTCATCTGGGTTTGATGCACCTGGCGCGTGGTCAAATCTGACAGGCGACTGTTTCGAGTTGAATGGGCGGAAGTGGCTGGGAAAGAGACAAGAGGTGCAGTTTTCTTGCTGCTTCGCTCTTGTACTAGGTAGTTAGCTGTCATCTCGTCGTCTCGTTGGCTGATCGTCATAAAACCACCCCATCACATATATGTACCTATCAATCTGGACGCTGCGGCGGCTATTGTCCGAGCTGAGCCCTCGTTAACTTACTGCAAGAGGTAAGCAATACGACCGCGGATTCTCTATCCATCACATTGTGCCCTGGGCCTGTCGCGGGAGCACCGGCGGTTAGGTCCTCCGATCGTTATCCATCAGATTAACCAGCCGGTTATCCGCCTCCTAAGATCGTGCTTGTCGATATGTAGGGTCCATCAGCATCTACATATATCATCAACCGAGGCCTTGCGGTGAGAGAGACTTTTGTCAACATCTTTTTGGGTCCGGATGCCGGATTGCCGGGGCCCGATCCATCTGGTGCCTGATTATTAGACAAATGTGAATGGGGGAAGGGTGGGATAATCCTCGGGCCTCAACAAACATACTGTGACGAGGAAATAATCAATAAATCAATAATGATCAGTAATTATGCGCCAAGCGGAACAATTGTGACCAACCAGACTGACCGCAGGCGGAATCGGTGAATTTCTTTGACCGATTTGTGAGACCGTTGTGGATTAAGCGAAATTGGAGATGGGAGATCCACTGCTTCCTGTTGGTCGGCCGTGAATCTATCTATGGGGACCACTGGGTTGGGCGCATCGCGGAGGAGGTGAGAATGGCTGGGTTTGTTGTTCTTGAAGCAAAGCAGAATGCTTCTTTACTTCTATCTGAGACCTATAGATCGGAGTCAGACCATCGTCAGTACTCCGTAGAAGGTACCAGAGTCAGAGTTATAGTAGTGTCTAACTGTCGCATACCTGTCTGCGCACAGCTCTCCTACTGCACCGCGTCAACTTCTTCTCCGCATGCTCAATTTATATTGAGTTGGATGGTTGAGAAGATGACAAGTGACTATTCAGGAACCGGAATCAACTAGCTTTGGTCGAGGCGTGCTGTGGTGGTGCTGTGGTGGTGCTGTGGTGGTGTAGACTACTGTAGCTTCAAGCCCGCCCCGATCCGTAGTTCGGTATTTGCGGCCTCCGTCTTCCGAGCAGAAATTTTCTGCGTTGATTTTTTTTTTCTCTTTCCTTTTTGGAATAGGCAGCGACCCTGGTTTCTCAGGCACTTCCGAGGCTGACCACCGAAACTAAACACTAAAGGGGTATGGGCGGTAAAATTAAACGCCTTGAAAGTGTTAGGACACGGCCAGTGGTGACGACATGATACGGGGCCAAACTGGTAATACGAGTACGACATTACTGCCTTACGGCGTACCCGTCGTGGTCCGTCGCCCCGTCCAAGTCCCAGTCCCAGTCCCAGTCCCAGTCCCAGTCTCACCTTCACTCGCTCGCTCGCTCACTCAGTACTATTAGTACTACTACTCATTCCCAAAGCAAAACCACCTGCAAAATCCTCAGATTCCCTGTCTCATTGTTTCCTCCTCTTCCTTTCTCCTCTTCTCTTCCTCTTTACTACAACCCTTCTCTGCCTCTTTTCCTATCCACCTATTGTCTCTCTCCTACTCTCTCCTCTGTTTATCCTCCCATCCCTCCGGTTCCCGCGGCCATCTTTGCGCCCCTCGCGACTAATCTCCTCGTTCTCGGTCCACTGTCTCTCTATCGCCCTTACTGTTCGTCCGCCTTGCGTCAGAGAAGCCCTTGCCAACGTGACCTCCCCGAACATCCTCGTTTGGCCGCTGGAGACCGGAGCCCGCGCTCCCCACGTCGTTGCTATAACTCAATTTCAATTCTCCGCTTGTCGGAGCAAACCAGCAGCGATCGTAACGTCCTGTTCCAGGGTCCTTTCTCCCTCTGACTCCTGTCCGTCACGTTGACGCCGAGACAACACCACGCCATCCCCTCCCCTTTCCCGTCAGCTTCGCCTCGAACCTCTATCCTTTACTTGCGCCTTGGCCTCTGGCAACTTCGCACGACGAACACAGAAGAGATTCATTCGGCCATTCCATAGAGTCTCTTCGTTCCGAGACTAGCCGCCGAGATGAATAGTTCCCTTCCTTCGTGGAAGGACCGCACGCAGAACCAGTTCGGCAAGCTTCAGATCCAAGTACCATGGCGCTCTATCCAATTGCTGGTCCCGCATCGCATGCGACGGAAGATTCGTTCGAAGCTGCGCAGCAGGCTTTCTCCGACCTCATCGATTTCAACACTGCAGACCTCCTTCTCGCCCGTCGATACCCTACGGTCACTGCAAAGCCATCGGTGGACACTATATGACTTCCAGTATTTGCTCTTGCTGATCATCGGGATTTTCTCCCTCAGCATGATGGGTGCCCCTGGTCCCTTGGCCAAAACAGCCGTCTTCACGCTACTCCTGATCTCGCTGCTGCTCCCGATCACCCGCCAATTCTTTCTTCCTTTCCTGCCCATCGCGGGTTGGCTTATCTTCTTCTACGCCTGCCAGTAAGTGCTCCTACAGGTCTTGGCCCTGCATCTGGCACCACCAGACGGCGAACAATGACTGACTTTTCCCGCTATAGGTTCATTCCAAGTGATTGGCGCCCAGCGATCTGGGTCCGCGTGCTTCCGGCCCTGGAGAATATCTTATATGGGGCAAACATTAGCAACATTCTGTCTGCTCACCAGAATGTTGTTCTTGATGTGCTTGCATGGATTCCCTACGGCCTGTGCCACTACGGTGCGCCGTTCGTCTGCTCGCTCATCATGTTCATCTTCGGTCCCCCGGGCACCGTTCCACTTTTCGCCCGTACCTTTGGTTACATCAGCATGACTGCAGTTGCTATTCAGCTCTTCTTCCCATGCTCTCCTCCGTGGTACGAGAACTTGTACGGTCTGGCACCGGCCGATTACTCGATGCCTGGTAACCCTGCTGGTCTCGCCCGCATCGACAAGCTCCTTGGAATCGACCTGTACACTTCGGGCTTCAGACAATCTCCCGTCGTGTTCGGCGCCTTCCCCTCTCTGCACGCGGCGGACTCAACGTTGGCCGCTTTGTTCATGAGCCATGTTTTCCCCCGCTTGAAACCTTTGTTCGTCACCTATACTCTGTGGATGTGGTGGGCGACGATGTACTTGTCGCACCACTATGCAGTGGACTTGGTTGGTGGTGGTCTGCTGGCCACGGTCGCGTTCTACTTCGCCAAGACCCGATTTCTCCCGCGCGTCCAGAGCGATAAGACCTACCGCTGGGATTACGACTACATCGAGATCGGTGACTCAGCTCGCGCATATGGATACGACCTGGCTAGTTTCGATGGCGACTTCAATCTCGACAGCGATGAATGGACGGTTGGATCCTCATCCTCCGTCTCTTCTGGCTCCCTGAGCCCTGTCGATGACCATTATACTTGGGAGGGAGAGTCTCTGGCCTCCCCGGTCACCGACATTGAAGCCGGAAGACATGTTATCAGCCCTTGATAAGCTCTCGTCTCGACTTCTCGCAAACCTCACACTGCATATAGCATTCGCTTCTTGCATCTATTTAACGATTGGCGTTCTAACATTTGACGACATGCTGGTTTTATTGCATTGAGCCAATTTCGACACATACATCTTTAATACCGACCGCCTTGCTTCAGCCCTCGCCGGGCTTTTCAGTCAGTGTTCAATCGAACTCTCGTCTGACTGAAAGTGTGGGGAGTCATCACCCGATGACTTCTCTTTCCGCCTCACTGTACCATCACCGCAATAATTTGGCTGCGTAATGAATTCCTCCAGCCTACTATCGGAGCTCCGTCGATAATCTTAATACGGAAGGCCCAAGGCGATCTCTTTTCGGACCGCGCTGGGGTCTTACCTGCGACGCTCGCTTTGGGGAGCCTTTCTGGGATTTCTCAGAACGCCCCCATTCGCTTCGACCTCACTTTTTGTCATTCGCTGTTCGTCAGCTGGTCGAGCTTTACCTTTATTTCACCTTCCGCTCGGCCAGGTACATAGACTTTTATCAATTCGTGTCGATCGCTCACACCATTGGCGCCTGGGTTTTGAGACCATTCAATGAAAGAAAAGTTGATTGGAGGCGCTCTCACTCGCTTCCCCGTTTGCACTTGATTCGCTATGCATCACAAAGGATGCAACGCTGTTTAATGACCCTTTTTTGCATTGGCATATAGACAGAGGGGCTATGACAAAACCTCTTGCTCTCAGGCCGTTGCCACTGCCCTGAGACACATGTTGTCTGTTGTATGAGGAGAGAGGACCTGTTTGGTTTTATTTTCCAGGTTGGATTGGCAAGGAGAACCCCTCGACGCAAGGAAAATTGTCGCGAGGACCTGCATATATGGTGGCGGAGAATTATCACTTTCTATTTTTCGTCTGTGCCCGCTTTCGTCCGCACGTGGGAGGTGGAAAACTGCTATGCTTTTTTCATGCTGCTGTGGAGGAGGAAGAAACAACTTGCATAATTCCAGTGAAGCCAGTCCAAGTCCTGACGCAACACACATACACGCGCACATTTTCCCTTACCCCTGCTCTCACACTATTTTTAAAAACTCCCTTCAACCTCATCCTCATCCTCATGGGGTGTGTGAGTATGTGTCAGTGCGTCAGCAAAGGGTTTACTGAGAATCAAAACAAGAATTTTGTTACCTCTCTGCAGTTCCAGCACGAGCTTCAGTTGCCAGGCATTATTAATTATAATTATTTTCAAACCAGGCAGTGTTATGATTTATGAAACCCACTTCAAACCAAACTTTGTGTTTATATTGTATATCAAAACAAAACTTCCTTTCCCCTTTGAATTGAATCATTCTCCGTAATGGAGTGTATGTATCTGTGTGAGTGCTCGTTTGAGTATGTACATCTATACCACTGGTGTTGGAGCCTCTTATAGACAATACTCTTCATACCTCCTTGAAGATCTATGGTCGGGCACCAGGGGCACGGACCGGCCAAGTATCTCCCTTCACCCACCAACCTCATAAGGGAATAATACTAGATAATAATGCTGCATAATTCATGGGATGTCATTGCACATATCTCATCATCTTTTTTTTTTCTGGGATTTCCTTCTTTTCTCTATCATGGAGTCATGGAAATAAGGGCAGTCTTCTTTGATGCATCATAAAATAGATTGAGAAATGTGTATAATGCAGTGTAAGAATAATCGGATTGATGTCGGTTATTTGATGCTTGGGGAGTGTGTTTCGTGGTAGATAACTAAGATCTCATGACGGGAAAAGGAAAAGAAAAGAAAAATCAGTAGACGCTTCCTCTGATGCTTTGGTCTTCGCGGCGTTGGGCTTCTAGGGTGTCGTCTTCGTCCTCGTCCTCGACTTTGGGGTTCATGGGAGTAGTATCAGTTTGGTCATTAGGGTCGTCTGCGTGCTCGTGCTCGGGTTCGTTAGTCTGATTACTGCCTTCGTGGACGTGCTGAGACTGGTCCGCCTGGCAGGTTGCGCATTGCTCGGAAAAATACTCGTCATGGTCTTCGTCGTCGTTGTCGTCATCGTGGTTGTCGGGTTGTTGCTGATGCGGCTGCAGTTGATGTTGGGTGAGGATGTTGGCTACGCGCTTCGCTTGGATGGCTCGACGACCGCTGGAGGTGGTGGAATGATGAGGATGGCGGTGGTAATTGTGAGAACGGGTGCGACGAGGTCGATCGCTCTGTCGGCTGCTGCTCTCGTCGTCGCCGTCGTTGCCGAGATCCTGAGATGGTTTGCGAGAGGGGTCCGGGCGATGGCTGTGGTGGTGATGGTGTTGGTGGGGATAGAGGTAATTGGAAGTGGAGGCGGAGCGCGGACGGGCTTCTGGAGCCGACTGAGTGGGTTCATGCTGGTGCTCATGGCTCGGGTGGTGGTGGTGGTGGTGGTGGTGGTGGTGCTGATATTCGTGTTTCTCATCCCGCTCGTCCTCAGAGGGTGCAAGGCTGTTCGCTCCGCTCAGGGAGCCTCCGCCGTCACGGCCGACCAGGTGGATGTAAGCGTAAGTGGAGCGGGGTGGGTGAAGGAGGTGGTCTTCGCTGTCGCGATGGAAGTGCCGGAGGTCTGGCCGGCGCGGGACTGAATTTGAGCTGGGGCTGGGGCTGGAGCGGGTTGATGAGGGGAATGGTTGGTCGGATGATTGACTTGTGTCAGTCAAGGCAATGGCTTTGGTTCGGATGGGCAGTGCCTTATCCAAGGTCGCGCTTGAGACCTCGAGTTCTAGTTGCGTGCCATGAAACTCGTACTTCGGCAAAGGAGCAGGATGTGTTCTCTCTAAAGGGCGAACATCCCTTGATCGATCTCCAAGTGCTGGCTCGGGGGCTGCGATCATATGTGGTTCTCCATGCGTGGCCGAGTCTTTCGAGGTTGTAGTTGGAGAAGCATCGTGGTCAGCTTTAGTCTTGTCGGAGTTGTCCGTGGGATCGCTTGTCTTCCTGGAGACGGGGGACGAAGTGTCCACGTGAAGCTTGGGTTGTTCTGATCCGTATGCTCGAGCTGAACGCAAGGAATCTCCTCTTCGAATTCCGTGATTACACCCCTCGGGACAGCCACCCCACTTGCGTCTAACCGGTACCGACGTTGTCTCCGACGGCGTTGCGGGCTGTGCAGGGCTGAGGCCTTTCGCTGCACGTTCGTGTTGCCGTTCCAGCTCTTTTTCCTTGCGCAGATCGGACCAAGTCCGGAGCTGATTTTGCAGGACATATTTACCATTATCTGGATTGAGTTTCAAAATAACAAACTCGCAATGGTTGATGTTCCGTAGATCCTCAAAGTATTCCACGCTCCAATGGTACCATTTCATGAGAAACACTCTCGTCATCAAGCCATGCGTAACCAGCACGCAGACACTAGCAAAGTCGTCCTCTCCGAACAGGCGCCAAAGCGATTCGTTGAACCCACTGACACGGTCGTAGGCGTCCGCGGCAGACTCACCGTTGGGTATCCGGTAGAAAAAGTGTCCATAATCAGCTCTTTCCAGCCACATTCGTTCCATCTCGGCCGAACAAGGCTGGAAATTGCCAAAGTCCTGCTCGCGCAACCGAGGCTCCTCATAGACCTTAATTGTATGCCGCGGGAACGGGGATGGGGATGGCGAGTCCGAAGTCAAGGACTGAAGAATGCCCTCCGTGGTTTCACGTGTGCGACGATAGGGAGATGTGAAGAAGTGTATCGTGTCATCTGGTCGGAGGAGGGCGCGTAATTTGCTTCCTGCTTCTAGAGCCTGGCGATGTCCTTCCGGGGTCAGTTTAACCCGATGGTCCGGGATGGTCTGATGAATCTCGCGGTTCTTGTTCCCTTCTGATTGAGCATGTCGGATCAAGATGATCATCTGTGAAACAGGTGAGCGACAGAAGTGGGATCACCATCGAGGGGCTGTGACACTTACCCGCGGCTTGCCCATGTTTGTTGTTTTGGCATGCGGTGGTGTGGTGTACAATTGATGTGGGGATACGAGGCGAGGTACAGGACAATCGCAGCGGACTGTAACGGCGGGTAGTGAAACAAAAAAAATGCACCCACTGACTGGTCAATTTCCCGAGAAGCTCGTGGCTTGCGAATCGATGTAGGTTTGTCTTTCGAGAATCGATCGATGGGAGAATCTAGAAAATGAGTTGTTGAGGAGAACGAGGATTTGCAAATGCGGCGGGACCATTGGAGGAACCTGGGGATTGCCTGATCAAGTTAGCGCAGTCCAGTGATGTCAGTGTCCTGGTTAGTCAGCAACGGCCAGCTCAGGCACAATTCATCATTGTATACTAGAACATGGCCCCAGCTAGTACTAGATATTCTACACCTGGCAGCCTCCTTGGATCTTGATCTTGGTCTTCTCGGAGCTGATGAAGTGTTAAAGCTCATGAAACTATCGGTTCTCATGTCTTAGTCAATCGATCAGCAAGCAACTCATTGCTTGATGTCATTTTGATAATCATCCTCCTTATACTCCGTACATGGTTTATCTTTGGTTTTCTCGTTGGCGCTTTTTCTACGTATCAGTTGACATTGAGTTCGCGTCAGACTTCGTAGACATTTAGCATCGTAAGATATAGTCATCTTTATCCACCATTGCGTCTGAAAGAATGCCAGAGGTGACTTCATTGAGGGACTATAAATTGCGCGACGAATCCGACTTTCTTGCTTGCTTGCCCTCTTCCACCTAGATTACAGGAGCATGATTGTGGTAAGGATTTGATCCCATTCCAGTTCTCTCCCGTTTCCGGGAAGGACGACACTATGTGGGGAACAGTGTGGCAGACAGTACGTACCTCCATCATGGATACTACATAGTATGTATCCTCCCCGCAACAGACTAAGCCTGGGCTGGCCAGTGACCCGCCAAGGCGGCATGCCGTGCCAATCCGTTCTCCGTCGCAAACCACTGCAAAGCTGGCCAGTTTCTCCTGTTTAGGTGACTTAGCTTCACTGTTTCAACTTCACAGACTCTCCCACAACTCTCCTTCCTTTCTTCGTCTCTGGGATCGGGTGAAAGCAGTCATGACCGATTATCTTTACGAGCTCCTGGCGCCTCAGCTGGGCCCAACCACCAATGCTCCTTCCGATCTTCGCTCCCCGGAGCACAATCCCACCACAGCCAAATACCTCAATCGTCTACCAACCCTCTCCCTTCAAGCATTACAGACGACAGAGCCTCAATCCTTAACGCAGTCCTCCCACTCGACCCTTTTGTCCCTCCAAGCGCTCTCCAACCGTTCTCACAAAGCCTTCGTGACCTCCGCGGACCATTTGTCCCACCTTCGCACAACTATCCCCCAGTTGACCCGCGACGCCCAAGCACTACGAGATTCAGTCCCCAAACTCGACGAGGAAGCAGTTCTATTCTCTTCGAAATATAGCCGAGCAACCGAGAATGTATCCCTCGAGCGACGGAAGAAAGTCATGCAATTGGCAAGAAATGTGGACCGACTCTCGGACATTTTGGAGCTGCCAACTTTGCTTTCTACAGCCGTGTCATCCGCCGCGGCAAGCTCAGGTGGTACAGGGAGCTCGGCCTCGACCACATACTCGACTGCACTGGATCTCTACGCGCACATCAAGAGACTACAGACTTTGTATCCGGATTCCCCTCTCATCAAAGACGTGGTCATGCAGGCCGATGAAGCGATGAAGGACATGACTTCCAATCTGCTTGCTGGGCTTCGGATGCAGAATCTGCGGCTAGCCGCGGCAATGAGGACCGTTGGCTGGCTGCGGCGAGTGGCGCCCGAGTTGGAAAACTTATACAATGACAGAGGGGCTACTTCCGGTGAGGGTGCCTTGGGTGCAGTGTTCTTGATCTGTAGACTGGCAAATCTGGTGTCAATGCTGGAAGCCCTGGATCCTTTGCGAGAGTTGGCCGAGCAGGAGACGCAGCGCAGACTTCACAAGACTGACAAACAAATCAGTGTGACCGGCACTTGGTCAGATGGTCACCAGACGGAGAAATACTTGAAACGATATATTGAGATTTTCCGCGAACAAAGTTTCGCCATTGTCTCCTTATACAAGAACATTTTCTCTCCTGACCAGTCCGAGTCTGAATTGGCCGTTGCCGGTCTACGTGGAATCGATAGTCGAGTCAAGGCGGTAGCCTCGAAGTCAGCCCGTGCAGAAATCCCCTTTCAACGTCTTCCGTCCGCCTTGGCCACTTTTCCCATGCAGCTGGTCAAATTACTCGCGGATACGTTGCGCACGTATCTTCCTAATGTTCGCGACAAGAGCTCGCGCGAAAGTCTCTTGACCCAGGTCCTGTATTGTGCAGCTAGCCTTGGCCGACTTGGGGGCGATTTTGGAATGATCCTTACGGAGTTGGGAGACGAGCAGGACGAAGACGACGATGATGATGATGATGATGATGATTTAGCCTACGAATGGGAGGAGGTGACACGGAAACACCGAGCCTTGGCAGGGCGGTTGGAGCAGCTGACTGGGGGTGGTACAACCACAGGGCCTTCTTCCAAAGGGACCTTGCGAGTAGCATCGCCAGCTTAGTGAGGGACTGGGGCGATTGAACAGCAGAGTGACAAAGAGCGTACTGTAAGGAACTTGCCAGCGAAGCTGCCAGCCAACAAACAAACACACAAACAAACAAAACCAACAAATCGGCCATTGTCAGTGTCATTGTCAGTGTCATTGAAGGTGAAGAAGGGATGATGAGCGTCTTTTGTTCCTCAATAAGGGAAGTCAGGACACCCGGGGATTGCTAACCCGTTAAGGCATGGCATCCGCCGTCCAACACTGTCTGGACCATTCATCCATCCATTCATCCGTCATCCTCCCTTCCTCGCTTCCTCGCTCCCTCACTCTCCCTCCTCTCTCTTGTCTCCCCCATCCCTTTCGACAACCTTCAGACCACTCTTCCTCATTGACTCTATACGCCTCTTGTCACCTCCGAACCCCCCTGACGCTTCTCTTCGAGACTCCTTCTTTGCGACCGGTGCTGGTTTCCGGTTATTGATCTATCCTTCTCCCCCCCCCCGGCGCTGCTGCCGCCGCCGTCGCCGTCTCCGTCTGTTGTGACGTTCTCCCTTGCATACCGTGCCACTGATTATACCCTCCTGAGCAATGAAGATATTTTCCTTGACTGCGTGAAGAAACTCCATCATTTACAGAAACTTGCGACCTTCATTTCACCACCCCTCCTCCTGTGACCCCGATCCCCGATGGCTGCCTCCGCTCTCTCCACCAGCGGGTTGATCGATCCAACAAAACAAGCCGAGTATCCTATTGTGCTGGGTGACAGACTCGCTGGCAAGGGCGCATCAGACTCCCAGCTAGTCAACATTCAATTTAACTACAAAACCAAATCTGCGACCGCCCGATCTAAAATTTCTCGATCAAGGCAGTCTCGGGATCGTTACAATCTGACGATCACGGATAAAGCACCAAATGCCGAGCAGAATGTGCTGACCTACACCTATCAAGGCAGTGTAGATCCGGCACAAGCTGCGCTGGAATCTCGTGAACATAATCTTGTCCTGGTATTTGACGCCAATCGGAAAGTGTTCGTACTAGAACCAGTAACGACACAGCTCAACTTTAATCTTCAGTCAGCCCCAGCGAAGTCACACAAGCAGGTCCTTGAACAATATGAGCAACTACGAACGTTGCAGGAGGAAGACCATGGTTCGGGTGACGATCGGGCGTCTGACAATGCCAGTGGTAATGATGACGGTCCGGCGGATGACAACAACCCTTTTGATTTTCGTCATTTTCTTCCAAAGGAGAACGCCGATGACGACAAATCTGCTTCAGAGACCAGTGTGGGCAAAGCTGCGACACCATTGATGACTGCTGTTAAACCCACTCCGAGTCCCAAGCCCGTGCCGGACAAGCAGAAGCAGCGGGAACCACTGCTCCGGAAAAAGGAGCGAGCAGAGGCTGTCAGGCTCCCGAAGTCCACACCGACAAAAGCACCCCCGAAGTCTCCGGCACGAATCGAACGCAAGGGAACCGACCGGAAGGTCGTTAAAGAGGATGACGTGCGGGTGAGCACAGCGAAGCCCCCGCCGGCTGAGACTGGCTTGGGATTGGTCTCGTCCCAGGTAACCGAGCCTTCGCCGGGGTCAAATATCATCATCGACGGTGACTTGATCATCGAAATGGGCTCGCCGCGGCCCTCGAGAATCGACACGACCTACTTCTCCGATACGCACACACCGGCCAGTGACGATCACGAGGAGGAAGATGATGAAGATGTTGATCATCTCCGACTTCCTTCACCAGCCCGCCACGGGAAAGCGCCTGCAGTTCGCGAGCCTGTCTCTGCGCCGCTCGTGGATGAAGATGAGCTGGATGACGATGATGCCCTAGCCGCTGAGATGGAGGCGGCCTTTGAAGAAAGTGCGCGGGAGGAAGAAGAGGCACGTAGCCACCAGTCGCAGCCACCATACTCGTCGCATCTGTACCACGCACCTAGTGAGGATGAGAGCGAGGTCAGCGAGGAAGAGTAATACTGTCCCTTTTACGACTCTTGTTTATTAACCTGTATTTCACTCTTGTAACAAGTCTACATGCATATAAGCAGGGCGCATTGTGGAGTTTACACTGTTTGATGTTTGACATTGAGCCCCAGCGGGGGCGGACTTTCATGGCAATAGATATAATACCAGCTGTTGCACCGTATTTGTATTGAAAAGTATATTGAGGACTGATTGACACAACTGTCAGTGTTATAGCATATTGGTATATTTATGACAAGTGTAGCACTGAGAAAACCACTTGTGAGAGTAACAAAATAATAGTCCGAATGCCGGTTCTACGCGGCGGCCGATCTAGATCGGAACAACTGAATGATCCGGGCCGCATCGTCATTGGGCCAAGTGCAAGTCAAGAAAAACCACCGCTCTAGAAAGGAGCTTGACCGGTTCCTCCGGCAATAATCGACGACACCACGAGTTTCTCGCGCTTTACAGCCCAGTCCATCGCACTCAGCCGCTGCGAATCTTACCCGTTTTTCTCCATAACGCTTACTGTCGCGACTCGTGGACTAACACGCGTGGTGCGACTGGCCTCCCCGATTCTCGGCATCCGATGCGATGAAGAGTCACCCGCGGGCCATGGTTGAAACGACTCGATAAACCTCCAGGCGACGAGACAACGTGGCTCACTGTCGCCAGTGGGCTACATTAAGGGTGCGCCTTCGTTTACTGCCCGGCTCCTTCGACAGCCTCCAAGTAGGGTGACTGAAGAACACTCGATCGGAACCTTACCCAAGCCTGCCTTCGCGTGCGGATTCGGGCTCTCGGGATCGATCTCCTCTCACGTTGTGTACAGTTCTTCCACCTTCGACTCCTTCGGGATAAATTTTGCCCGCACTAGCGTCGCTTTGTGCTTCGAGGGAATTGACCCTTACGGATAAAGCTCATATGCACACGATGGCCTCTCCACGCGGCCACCGTCCGGGTCCCAGGCCTGTTCCTGCGCCTTCGAATACCGTCCTCCTCGCGACCCAAGCTCAGTGGCTCTTCACCGATGAAGAGCTCATGCGAACGCCGTCACAGCTCGATGGGATGAAGATGGAGGCGGAAAATACCTCCCGCAGCAAGGGCGTGAATTTCATCTCCCAGGTGGGTATCATGCTCAAGCTGCCGCAACTCACGCTTGCGACGGCCGCCGTCTACCTCCATCGTTTCTTCATGCGATACAGTATGGTCGATCTGCCGCAACGACCTGGAATGCACCCCTACCCCATCGCTGCTACGGCACTGTTCCTGGCTACAAAAGTTGATGAGAATGTGCGGAGGATGAAGGAGCTTGTGGTCGCTTGCTGTCGGGTAGCCCAGAAGCAGCCGAATCTGGTGGTTGACGAGCAGTCCAAAGAGTTTTGGAAATGGCGCGACACGATCCTCGTCAACGAGGATACCCTCCTGGAGGCGCTGTGCTTCGACCTGCAGCTGGAAGAGCCGTATCGCATCCTTTACGAATTCCTGCTGTTCTTCAACGTGGCCGATAACAAACAGATGCGCAATGCGTCATGGGCCTTTGTCAATGATTCGATGTTTACCGTCCTGTGCCTACAGTTCACCGCTCGCAACATCGCCGCCGCCGCGCTGTACGCCGCCGCCAAGCATTGCGACGTCGGGTTTGAAGACGACGAACTCGGTCGGCCCTGGTGGGAGCAAATCGATGTGGACATCCAGGAGGTGCGTCGTACGGTCACAAGAATGGCACAATTATATGAGCACAATGCCTTGCAAAGAAATACGTACTATCTGTCCGCCCCCACCGCGTCAGACGAGGGTACTGAGAAGACCAGGATCCCGCGCGCGGGCGGTACGACAGAGCCCGCGCCAGGAACAGACCCCGTCAATGGGCGCAAGCGGTCCAGGGAGCCCGAAGAGCAGACTCACGACCGCACCCTGCACGAATCGACTACGTCGCGCGACCACGAGCCAGCTAGACAGAATGGTACACGGTCGCCGAAGCGCCAGCGGAGGGAAGCGGAAGGCGTCGTGGCCGAGAGAGGCCCTGCGCATGAATCCTCGACTGTCCCCCACTCTAATGGAGAGCCACCGTCATCCCAAGACCGACACCACGGCAACGGTCACGTTCCTGCGGGACAACTCCCGCCGCCTCCCCATCACTCACAATCACGCCATCCGCATCCTCTGCCCCCTGCCCCTCGACCGTTCCCTCGCCGTGATAGCGCCAGCCGGGGAAGTAAGCCGGGGCAACCGGTGGATCCGATCCAGCAACGGATCGACGAGATTGTACAACAGAACATGTCCTCCCACGGGTCTCCGAGCTCTGCTAGATCTGAGCGACGGCCAATAGACCGTCATCGAAGCGACTGGGACGTAGAATCAGACGAGCGCAGAAGACGCCCGTCTGCTGGTGGCAGGAAGCCATCCTACGAAGAGCATTCGAACCACTCCCGTGCACCACCTCCACCTGCTCCTCCACCCCCTCCTCCGCCACCTCCTCCGGAAGAAGCCCGGCCACCGTCACCGGAACCAACGAAAGCCGTTGAAAATGATGATGAGGGCGGAGGGAGTGAGGAGGGCGAGCTTTGATGAGCGGAGCTTTGCTTTTTTATACTTGTTGCTTTTTTTTTTATGAGAACTCATAGATATCTACAATGCGCTGGAAGTTGCTGCACTGTATATAGTGCAACCCTGACGGAATCGGAAGGAACCCCCGCAGCTCGAGCAAAATCGTGGTCTTTGTTTTTTTGTTGGTTCTTCGATGGGCTAGCATTGCTCATTCATTGCTACTTCGCTTGGCTTGGCGCTGTGTTGGTTGTATGGAGAGAGGCGAAGGGATTGGGGATGAGAGGGACATTTTGTACTATACCTTTTGCTTAGACTTGAATCATCATTTTCGAGTGTTGTATGGGTGGTTCAATTGAGATGGCGGCGCCATATTGATGATTAGACCATCTCTATACTGTAGCATGGAACCTATGCCAGAGCACTGCTCTTGAATTCCCTTATTTCGTGCCTATACTCTTAGATCCGGTTACTGATCAAAAGCTCGTTCCGTGGCACTACAGTGCACGTTGTGTTCACGTTGTGTCCATTCTCAGACTTCAAAATGGAGGTGCGTTTTATATCATCGGCAAGCAATAGCTATCTACTGAGTGATTTATGTCTCATCCCAAATCTTAATCTCTTGCACCTCGACCTCCATGGTCCAGTCGCCCCTCCACTCCCTCGCCCGGTACCCTCCGCTCTTCGCAACCACATGCCTCACGCTCATCCTCGACACATTCTTCTCCAGCACAAACTGCACGCCTTTCCCTGTCTCCCCAAAGACCAACTACTTCGTCTGCTCATCTAGTCGATACCCCGGCCACACCACGTCTGACAAATCCCCGCGAAACACATCCTGCACGGGACTCAACTTGAATAGCAGGCACGATGCTGCCGCACCCTCCATCTCCGCCCAGGGCAGATGGAATCCAGATACCGCTTGCTGTCCGGACTGCGTATACCGGCCCGCTACCAGGACCACGGTCAAGTCCTCGTCATTGCCTAGGTCGGCTGCCAGCGTCTCTGCCGTTTCGTGTTTCTCGGTGGTGGGGTACGTCTTGCGCAACGCAAGGGCCTCGAACGCCACCGTCTCTGCAAAGATCATCCCCATCTGCGCTAGGTTGGGGCGTGTCACAATCGATGGGAGAAGGACTGGAGGATATCTTCCTGCTGGGCTGGAGGTTGATAGGGCGGGAACAGCGGTGTTTCCCAAGCTGGTCAAGAAGAGTGGCTATCCCATAAGAATCAGCATGTATCTTTGACCTCCCCCCCGCCTCCCCGCCAAAGCCCTTGTTCTCCAACCCACAAGGTAGAAGCAGGGAATAACTGGTGAGGGCGTCGATGGTGGTGTCTGGGGTTGGAGGCATTTTGTCCGGCTTTGAATTGGGGAGTTGATCTGAAATTGAGAATAGAGGGAGTGTGTGAAGATAAACAAGATAGAAGAAATTTTAAGGTGGTGATACATGCCTAAAGTCGCGCGCCTGGACCGGGTTCACTATTCTAATTAGGATCAGGCTCATTGTTTCTCTGCCATCATCCGTCAACAACCACAGCTCAGATCTAAAGCAAGATCCTCTATTATGTCAGTCCCTGCTTCAAATATCCAGACTAATCAGCGCGACCATCCTTGCAAGCTCTAGCCCCCCCCCCCCCTCTCCAGCCAACACCGACCCAGACCCTAACCTGTGCTGATTCGGCCCCCCTGGAACATCAACCACAACAACCAGGATAAAACGAAACAGCCCCCATGCTCAAATTCCCCAGGAGCACTTCTTCCAGGACCACAATGCCCGCATCCTTCATTTCCGTGATTCCGTCTAGACCAACACAGTGTAGTATAAAAAGGCGGACCCCCCCCCCTTTTCCTCAGACCACCTCACATCCCCCACCCCCCAAAACCCAAAAAGCCATCATCCACTCTTTTATTTTTTTTCAAAATCAATCACACTCATTCAACGCCCAGCGAAGAAAAAAGAACATGAGATTCATCACCATCGTCTCTCTTCTCGCGGCCACCCTCGCCACGGGGGTGACATCCACCCCGGTCTCGGTCCCGAATGCATCCCCTGACCACGGCGGCTCCATCCAATCCATCAACCTAGGCACCAGATCGGTGCACAACGTCGACGTCCTTCGCAAACTTCCGGGTCCCAATGCCCGCTCCTGATCCCGATCCATCGCTGGGTATTTCCGAGAGAAACCCATCTACCAATACCAAGGACGTTGGGATTGCGAAGCGCTGTCACGGCCAACAATCTCGAGATTTTGGGGTGTAGATCATCGCTGAAACGGATGGGAGAGGGGGAGAGAGGGGGCGTTGTCGGGCAAGGCTAAGGAGTATGTATGCGGGGGAGGGGCGGGAGGCAGGCGGCAAGTGTTTGGGGGAAGAAGGGGAACATTCATGGAATTTAGGGTAGGGCTCAAGGGCTTGGGGGCAATGAGAGGGCCAGATCCCTTTTTCAACGGTGTACTGTATTAGATGACTGTTTGTTAGTGCTGGTTATCGAGATTGTCGCGCTGACGACGCGCACCCATCAGAGATAAGGTCTGTTCGATCAGGAGCATGGCATTGGGGTATATAGGTATCCCGTGGCTTTAGGGCATAGAGGCTGTCTTCTGGCTGTTCTCTTCGTTCATGGTACAGGTCTATAGGTTGCGGAAGGAAGATGGGGTGCATGTTCAGGTTGGGGTTTTTGTTTCTATTGATTCATTACAACTATAACGGGCCAGATACAGTGATTCGAAATACACATACACGCAGACAAAAGAAAAAAATATATATTAGACATCTGAAGAGGTCCGTCTATTGGGAAAGAGTTTCAACAGTCCCTAGGACTGTTACAAGTGTATATTAAGTTACCTTTCCACCTCGAACCCACTCTGCCTCCTAACCCAGGCAGTCCAGACCGGTGGTCAACGTCTAGCATCCCCCGGCGCATGCGCTGTCCCGTCGCCCGACTGCTGCACAGTGACCTGGATCTGACTCGTCCGCCAGATCCCCCGCCGCAGGTCCGCGGCATCCGCCTCTTCACTGTCTTGATCATGGGGGATAGTGTCCAGCGGCAACTCCGACTCCGACGGGAGACGCTTGGCCCCCGAGGGCTTGAGCTTGGGGGTGGTCGACAGCTTGAAGGCGGATGCGCCGGAATATGGATGCGAGGTGTGGCTCAGGCTGTCAGAGCGGTAGCCTTTCGATTCGAAGGCTTTGCGGAAGAAGGGCCGGAGCGTGGGGATGCAGGCCGCCACGATGACGACGTTCTGCTCGATGCTGTGTATCCAGTCAGACAGGTCAACTTTCTTTTTGGAGGATTGAGGAATGAAAACGTACAGGCCCCAGACGACTAGCGGTACTACATTATATACTGAACAGGTTTTCATGTTAGTCACAAGGATGAACTGACTGCTGGCAAGAGGCCGCAACTTACGTGGGTCCGTCCGATCAGTAAACAGATGCAGATACGTGGCCTTGATGATGGTCACGATCGCCGAGAGCAGCGTCAGCCCCATCATGATGCACACCCCCACCTTGGTCGCGGTTCGCATCTGCAGCTTCCAGAAGACGCGGATGGGCACCACGGCCAGGACGACATCCGTCATGGTGGTGTAGGCGCTGACCCAGTAGGAGAAGTCGTCGAAGACGCTGGCGTCCCAGCATTGGCCCTCGCGGGCGGCGTCCCACAGTTTCTGGGTGGGGCGACACTGGAAGAAGACGATGAAGATGGAGACCATGGCGAAGACGACCTGCATCGTCACCATGGCGTAGAGACAGCGTGTACGCAGCGGATTCGGGTCGAGGAGGTGGCTGACGAGGATGGCGATGGAGATGTTGGGGAAGCTGAAGGCGCCTGCATTCAGCCGATGCATCAGTGATCAAGAACTATGACCGGAAATCAGCGGATGGAATTTGAGGCGTACCGATGTTGAATGCTGCGATCATGTTAACTAGGCATAGAACACCAAGCAAGGACACTCACGGAATGCTATGATCTGCCATTTGGCCGTTTGGACATATCGGTCAGTGCCATGATCGGCAATCACCGCGGCCGTATGGCGACCGAGCCCTAAGGTGACCGCGTAGGAGACAAATGCCGCCGCGATGATGCTGAGGCCCTGCAGTCCAGTATCCCCCTGGTCAGCGAAAGTCTGTTCGTCTATCCATTCCCCATCCTCTACCAACTTGCTAGGTGAATCACCATGGAAAAGAAGATGAAGAAGTCATCCCATCCCAAGCTCTTCGCCACATGTCCTCGAGCAAAAAGCTTCAACGCGACCACGGCAATGGCAGTGCCAGTGAACACCCATGCGACCGCATTGATCTCGCCGGCTCGACTTTGACTGAAATCCACATCCGTGTCGAATGAAGCCATTCAGACTGCCTCGAATGCTGCAATGTTGAAGGCGTCCGCCGGTGAAGTGGCCCAAGCACGAGAGATGGGCCGGTTTTCTCCTCGGTCTCGACGAACAGGCATTGGCGAGATGGGGACACCCCGGCAGTTTGGGCCAGAAACGCACGATATAAGGAGGGCAGAACCTGAGAGGAGAAACGGTTGCCGGAAAAATAACTCCTCTGGCACCAGCGTCATTAGTCGTAATTGTTCGGCGACGCCACGGGGCTCTCTAGCGGCCCTCGGTAAACGTCAGAGGATCGATTCTACGAACGATATTACGATTTAGGAGCATTAGTACCATGGAGCCAAAATGTCACGGCCAGTGTTTTAGGGTTTTCGCGGAGATGGCGGGAAGTGGAGCGGGAACGAGTCTCCATATCTCATATCTCCGACGTTTCCAGCTTGTTCACTCCTCCACCATTGATTTTGAATACAACCTTGGGCCGTTCGTTGTTGATGGAGGCAATGTAGAACGCGAGATGGTGTGCAATTCGCAGTATCCTCTCTTCAGTGTGGGTAGAATAATATCTCGAGGCAGCAACGGGGCGGGACAAGCCCCGCGTGGCTCGCCGTCGAAGGAGCGCTAACAACGCGTTAACCCTCTTAGCTTGACGGCGGTGCCTTCGCTACTACAAAGTGGCATGACGGACTTCCTACGGAGATGGTCTTAGTAGCATGTCCCAGGAGGCCAGCTGTCTCTAGCAGACGCAGACACCCTTGTCTCGCTCCATGTGCGCACATGCACCTCGGGGTTTGTCCTATCTTATGTCCTGTACGTACTACGTACAGTACCTGCAGCAGGATCCTTGTCTACCACGGGGACGGCACACTGCAGGGATCTCTCATCCTTCGAGGACTAAGACTTTACTGCATAAATCTGCCCCAACCACTCAGTCCCTCCAACACAGAAGAAACTGGGGTCGAAGACGGATTGACGACTGCATGAACAAGACGAAAGCCACCCAGCCTCGTCTCGAGCAAACACACGTGTTGAGATACAGACAGACTGTTTCCATCCACTTCTCCATGGGCTAGAATGTGACTAGCTTGCACTGACTACAGCAGCAGTCTATCTTCCGGCTACCCCTCACTGGAAAAGGAAAAGATATATGAAGCCCTGGACGCCCCCATGAGCCCCTCGCTGCGTTTCTCTCTGTATTCCACTCTCACCTTGCAACCAAAATCATGACGAATCCATCTGTATCCACTATCTTGGAAGACTTGGCCGCAGCAGGCAAGGCCTATAACCAGGCCGAGCCTGGCTCCCGAGAAGCCCTCATTGATCGCAGCCGTGCGCTGGTGGCCGCGCTGGAGATGCCCAGTGAATTTATTCAACGCAGCTTCTGGGCCGAGGTACGAGCATCATCCCAGTATCACTCCCAGTGATGTACCCACCTGCTAATTCACACGCCTGCGACAACGACAGCCCGCCATGTCCGCCATCATCCGCATCGCCGTGGACGTCCAACTATTCCAGCTACTCCGCGACGCAGGGGAGGCGGGCCTGAGCCCGTCCGAGCTGGCCGACAAGACCGGCGTCGACGTCGTGCTCCTGCAGCGGTTGACGCGCCACCTGGTGGCGATGTACCTGATCAGCTTCCATCACGGCGCCTTCCACGGCACGGCGCTGAGCGACCAGCTCGCCGCGGACAACTACCAAGACAGCATCTCCTTCTGCTACGACACGGCGCGCCCGTCCTTCAACAACTTCCCCGCCTTCTTCCAGAGCACCCACTACCGATCCCCGACCGTGGGGAGCCTGGACGGGCCCTTCCAGCGCGCCCATCACACCCCGCTCCACTTCTTCGACTGGCTGGTGGCCAACCCGCCCAACCTGCCGCACTTCGACTCCTTCATGAGCGCCTACCGCGCCGGCAAGCCCAACTGGTGCGACCCGGGCTTCTACCCCGTCGCCGACCGCCTGATCGCCGGCTTCGAGCCCAGCAGCGACGACGCCGACGACACCGAAGGCGTTCTCCTCGTCGACGTCGGGGGCGGCCGAGGCCACGACGTAACCATCTTCACGCAGCAATACCCGACGCACCCGGGGCGAGTCATCCTGCAGGACCGCGAGCCCGTGATCGCCGCGTTAGCTCCTGCCACCACCCCCACCAGCCTGAAACCCACCTTCACCGCGCAGGCCCACGACTTCTTCACGCCGCAGCCCATCGCCGGGGCGCGCGCCTACTTCCTGCACTCGATCCTGCACGACTGGGACGACGAGCGCGGGGTGCAGATCCTGCGAAACCTGGTGCCCGCGCTGCGCCGGGGCTACTCGCGGGTGCTGCTGAACGAGATCGTGGTCAGCGAGGAGCGGCCGACGCTCGCAGCCACGAGCATGGATCTGATGATGCTGGCGCACTTCGCCGTGCGCGAGCGCACCGAGCGCGAGTGGCGCGCCATCCTGCTCCGGGCGGGGCTCCGCGTCGTGGAGATCTACACCTACCCCGGGGTGGCGGAGAGTTTGATTGAGGCGGAGTTGGTGGCTTGATTTCTCAGGATGTTGATGCTTTTAGCGTGTTGTGTTTGGTTTTGTGGGCCAGGCACAGAGGTCAGTCAGTCAGACAGACATGGGGGTTGAAGTTAGCTGAGCTGAGCTGTGTGATTCGATTGCAGCGGCAAAGAGGTAAGCCAGCCACAACCTCGTTTCCACGATTCCAACCTCTCTTGACTTTCTATTTTGATAGCTAGACGAGAGATCGTCGATCAGCACAGTATACTACAGTAAAGTACACAGCAACTAACTACAGTCCGGCCGGTCGAAATTCTAGATTCTTTTATTTCTTTAAGATAAATTTATATCCTCTTCCCTCCCTTTCCTTCTCTACTCTTATGACTAGATTGTTCAGATTAAATAAGCTGGCGGAGTAGCTCTTTATATTTCCAGAACCCCGGTTCGTAGAGTTAAACTGCTCATTGTCTAGTATGGGATAGAGGAATGGGGTCGATGGTCCAGAGTTATGCTATACTACACGACACGACACGACACGACACCCGCTGCAAGCCAATCAGTTCAAATCGTGAAATCTATGCTGTGTCTTTTAGTCCCCGGCATTCGATATCAAACTTCCCTCAGACCCTCCTCTCCAACTTGAAAAATAAAGAACCATGGGGGTCAGTGGAAAACGGCCATGGTATTCGATTTGGATACATGCACAGAACTCAAAGGGGCTGATGCGGGGGTTGAGGTTGAGGTTGTATTTCCACATGATGCTGGATGCTGGACAAAAGGGAATGCCAAGCTGATATAGTAGTAGTCGATTCGGTAAACTACTTTCAAAGTTGCTGAAAAGGGCCGTCCAGTGGGGGGAGGAATAATGGTTTGGTGGGCGATGTAGAGGTCACTGCAGGCTACACAGTCTACTCAAGCCACGGGAGTCATAACTACGTATCTGCTTGAGCACGCACAGCTGTTCGTTTAAAACACTTCAGAGGGGCGGTTTGAAAGTCAGACTTGTCGGTCATCGGCTTGGTTGCTACCGTTGCTGTAGATTCATTGAGCTATTGTTCGAACTGAATCATATATCAATCATGAAAGCTATGCAATCTGCTAGTCATGCGGGAAAAAAAACACTATCTATCCGCCGATCACACCCCAATCGCCTTGTCTAGCAAACTGCTCGGCGCCACGAAACTAAACCCGCCGAACGGATTACTCTCCCCCAGCCCCAGCGAGACCGGCGGCACCGCCGCCTGAGACGCCTTGTAGTGTTCATCAAACCCATGCACAATCGGGCTGAGCGGCAGCTGCGTGAAGTCCACCGAGAAGTTCTCCGCCAGCGCCGGGTCTGTCACCACGGGCACGATGGGCGGCGTCACCTCGCGCCGCTCCAGGGCCTTCCAGTCGATCTTGCGGAAGAAGCGGTGGCTCTTGATCGTCTGCAGATCCTTGGGCATGTGGTACCCCAGCCGCTTGGCGGGTTCCTTGCGGAGGAGGCGCGTCAGTAGGTCCTTGGCGTCCGGACCCAGGAAGTAGGGCAGGGCCAGTTTCTGCTTGAGGATCTTCTCCTGCAGCTTGGCGTTGTTGTTCGCCTTGAAGGGCGGGGATCCCGTGAGCAGATCATAACCCAAGGCGCCGAGGGACCACCAGTCGCAGGCCTTGCCGTAAGGTTTGCCCTGGATGACCTCCGGGGCCATGTACTCGATGGTCCCCAGCGACGAGTTGCAGCGGTCGTCATCGCTGACGGCGATCTTGCTCAGCCCGAAATCCGTCAGCAGCAAGTGCCCTTCCTTGTCGAGCAGGCAGTTCTCCGGCTTGAGGTCCCGGTAGATCACCCCGACCGTCTGGTGCAGGTGCTCCAGCGCCAGCACCATCTCCGCCATGTAGAAGGCGGCCGCGTCTTCGTCGAACATGCGCTCCATGGCCAGGTGGTGGAATAGCTCGCCGCCTTCGGCATACTCCAGGATCAGGTACAGCTTCTCGTGGTCCTGGAACGCGTAGAACAGCTTGACCACGAACGGGTGGCGGTTGACGCTCTCCAGGATCATGCGCTCCGTCTTGGTCTGCTCCACCAGCTTCTTGTGCACGGTGATCGACGCCTTACGGAACTGCTTTTGTGCATAAAGCTTGCCCGTCAGGACGTGGCGCACCAGCAGCACGGTCCCGAAGGATCCCTTGCCCAAGCAGAGCAGCGGCTCGAAATCGTCAGACGCCATCTTGCGACACAGCTGCTGAGTGCGCACATCGCGCCCGTTCGACGCCTCCTGAGACTTTTCCTCAGCTACCGCATCGGCGCTGACGTAGTCATGCTCCAGAGGCACCTCGTAGCTGGTCAGGACTTCCGTCTGGTCACTGTCCGAGCAGACGCTGGCATTGCTAGGCGTCTCCGAGCGGGTCCCCTGGCCGGACAGGCTCATAGAATCCAGCTGCAGTTTCAGGGCGCTCACTCCACAACCGGTGGCAGGTTGGACCAACGGGCTGCTGGGGCCGGTCCCCGTTGGCGCACGAAGACGGGGACGGGAGCTCGGCGCGCGCGAACTGCAGGCCGAGCGGTCCGAGTCCTCATCGCCCGAGCCGCGAGGGGTGAATCCGCGCACGGTCGAGATGGCTGGAGCCACCGCGTGAGCAGCGGCCGCCTGCTTTTTCTTCTTCTTGCGACGGTCCGCCTTCCCAGCCAAGAAATTCCCATTCAAATCCGGGGCAGGGAAGGGTTTGGTGCCATTGACCGCCGCGGGAGGCATCATTGCGACCTTCCGCTCAGGACTACGGGCACTGATCCGGAAGCCGGTTTTTTGGCCATCGTTCATGGTACTGTCCGCACGAGAGTGCGACATGTCGGCCTGCGGGCTGAAAACATCCGCGACCGAAAGGTCATCCGGTGTCATGGTCGCCGAAAAATCCATTTTTTCTCCCACCAAAAAAGGGCGAGGTACAATTTCGCAAGAGGAGACCGATCACATGCACTCATGCATCGACAATTTGAAAGTACGCTCGTCCAAGCGGCAACCTAGTAGTGATCTGAACCAAAAATGGTTAGCATCCATCAGGCATAAGTTAGATGCACATACACGAACACGCATACGCGGGGTTAAGTCAAAACCGGTTTTTGCAGGAGACGCAAGGGGATCAAATTGTAAACTCACCCACACACCAATTGTAGATCGAGGATTCAAAGAACACCGCGCGCGCAACTCTTGTGAAGGAGTAGGTGGCTTGGCAGGAGCCCCTCGAAACTAGCACCAAATTACCGTCCGCCCTTATTCAGGACGGACCCTGGACCCTTAGCCAAGTCACCTCGCCAGCAGTGAAATCGGGCGAACGAGTGGATGACACGGCCTGGGTGCCAGCCAGAGTGGAGTGATATCGCGACACCGTAGACACCGTCGAGGGGGAGAAATCGGGGAAAGCGGGGGAATCGGTAGGGCAGCCAGCGGCGGAGCAGCGGAGATGAGCGGACGACAAAAGCGTGGATGGCGCAGACAGGCACATAGAGATACAGCAGGCTAGGTAGCCAACGAGGCAAGTGAGTTGAGTAAGAGATGAAAAGTGAAATAACACACAACGGATGTGTTTTGTAGGTTGTGGGGATCAAATAAAATTCCAGATTCCCTTAAAGAGGGGGGGAGATTTAAAGGAGGGAAAGGGAAATCAGGCTTAGAAGGAAAGCTGACACTGCGAAACAACCAAGGCCGATGATGCCCGCTGAGCCAATCATCAGCCGCCGGGTGCTAAGCGACGCTAGTCTACTTCGAGCCAGGGCTGCGTCACGTGTTGCCGTCATTGGTCTCGGTTTTCAGGCCTCCCTCTTGCCTATTCAGGTAATTTCACTCAGGCATCCCTCCGAATGACACGGCATGTAGGTATGTCGCATACAAACCCAAAAGTAGGTTACCTATCATACCTATGGCCCATCTGTAACCAAAAGCACAATTCCATATCCAATGAAATCCTAACATGAGGTACAAAGGTACAATACATCCTTCCTACTCAAAAAATGATTGCGACCGAGTAATTTGAACCCCAGATCGTTCTACAAAGGACAACGCGCTGGGCTTTTGGACCAGCACCGTCACTCGCTCATTACCAAACTCCATCGTCACAATGCGCGCCACGAAAGTGGCCAGCGCCTCGACAGTCTGGAAACTCGTAGCTTCGACCCGCTAACCCACCCCGACATTAGCAAATGTTCATTCAGAAAAGACACACCGCAGCAATGAGCTCTGCTTACCTCTGCCACAGCCCGCGTCATGGCCTGATAGGTATTGATCACCGTGGACCCCCAGGGCAGTTGACCGGGGCCCTTGAACTCCAACGAGACGATGACCGCCTGCTTCTCAACTCGCTCGTGGGAGTTGACCCCCAGGATACAGTAGCACCGTATGCCATCGATCCGGAACTCCTCCTCCAGCACCACCGGGCACCGCTCGGCCTCCGCCAGGTTGTCCACCGCAGCCGCCCCGTTCCGCTGCCGGTAGCCCCAGACGGTCACACTGCGGTATTTGAGTCCTTCCTCCGCGCGGAGCAGCGCCTTGGGCAATTGCAACGAGACCTCGCACTGTCCGAACACCGCGTCGATGGGCGGCGGGGCGGCGGCGATGGCAGCCGACGGGTTGCCGAAGATGGCCGCCTGGGCCTGCGCCTGGGAGCCCGCCGACGCACTGCTCCGGCGCCGGGTGTCGTGGTGCTGGTGCACATGGGACATCCGCCGAACGCCGGCGGCGGTCTCGTCGAGGAGGCCCAGCCCGCAGTTCGCGACGATCCCCGCAGTCAGCCGCACGTCCTCCCCGAGCGCAGCCCCCAGCATCTCATCCCGTCGGCTGCCGTCGATGCTGACCAGCTGCTGCGCCGATGCATCGCCCGACTTGCCGATGTTACGGATATCCTCCTCCAGGCGGCGATAGAGCTTTCCGTAGTCCAGTGATAGAGAGACATCGTCGGCGATGGCGGCGGCGACCGCGGAGGAATAGGATAGGTTCAGCGATGCGGAGCAGGGCTGCGGCTTGCTGGGACGGTGCCATGGGTCCGGGGCCGCAGGAAGCGTCAGCTGGATGTTCTGGAGCCGCACGCTGTCGAGGACCGGCGGACGGGGTGGGATATGGACGTTTACGCGTTGGTTAGCCATGATGCTAGCTGATAGTTGTGCAGAGATCAAAGGATGGATGAGGTGGGAGCGAGTGTGAGAAAGAGACGTTGCGAGCTGAGAGGGAAGCTAGCTCGCAGCGGGTGACCGTCGGGAAGATGCTGAAGCTACCGAAATTCGAGGCCCTGCCGTGACGTCAGCCCACAAGACGTCAAAGTGAATTCAAACACTCGAGGAAAGGTGATTTCAATAGAATTGTCTCGCACCTATTGTTAATTCAGAGAAGACCCTGTCTAGCTCTCGTGTCAATGCGACAGGCGCGGGGGGAGAAACCAGTAGTCGAGTCATTGGCAAAATAAAGTGGTGGGGGCGCCTCCGTCTTAGCGCGGGGAACTTGCTTTGTTGCCTTGCTGCCTTGCTGCCTCGCACGTCTTCTCCCCTCCTACTCCTACTCCTAAGCTCGCTTCCATTGTTTACTAGCCACTCTGGCAACCACTTCCCTTTCCCTTTTCAAACAGTGTTATTATTCAGTAGATCCAATATACACATACATTTGCCCATGAACCCATGGAGGAGAAGTGAAATTCACATCGTTAGATATTACGTCGCAAAGGGTTGAAGGCCATCCAGGGTCGCGTGCTGCTACATCCCTTGGCTGCGCTGAGGTCGACCAAGAGACCAAGTCGCGCGCGGAACTCGAGAGACCAGCCCAGAGCATAGATCGCCGAATCATTGGGTCATCATACCACGTCCGTTAATGGTCAGAAGCGCCTTCGTCTCTTCGTTCGTTATTTTCTTCTTTCTTCGCCGCCTTTCGTCTGCGGTGTACACACATCCGCATGGTATTTTCAGCCGTATCCGGTCCAGGAGTAGAAGTGCAGATGACCGAAGTCGGATTATTTTGTAGATCAGAGAGAAAAATAGCGCAAAGGAAAGCAGTTCAAGCAGAGCAAAACAGGTCAATCAGAAAGCACAGTGGGTATCCGCCATGCACTTAGTGAAACACAATCAAATGACAGCAAGCGAGCCCCTACCAGTAGCCGCGGCGTTCGTACGGCATGTACTCACCCCGTGGAGGACTCCGGGGACGGGGGTAGGCTCTGGCTTGCATGTAGGGGTCATCGTAGTGCCGGGGTGGAGGTGGCGGACGAACATCATACGGATCCTCATAGGGTCGACGCGGAGGAGGGTAGTCTTCAATCCGCGGGCGAGGTGGCGTCCGGCGTCCGTACCCATCCCGTTCATAGTATTCCCGCCGCATGGGGATAGGAGATCGTTCCCGGTAATGAGCCCGCGGACTGTAGCCACGGGGTGCAGGAAATCGGCGGTCGTATTCCTCCATTGGGGGAAAGCTCCGACGAGGGGATCGCGACCGGTAGGGGTCACGGAAAGAACGATCTTCCGGGGGAAAGCTTTGGATCTGAGGAGAAATGAATAATGTGAACTGGATGTGGATCTGTCAAGAGTCCTTACATCGGCGATACATGTCACACGAGATCCCTTGAACTCGCGCTGGTCGAGCTTCTCGACGGCAGTTTTCAAGTCGTTGGCGGTCTCAAACTCAACGAACCTTTGTTCATAGTGTTAACGGTAATCCAACGGGGCGTCCAGGGGAAAGAGAATGCGACGCACCCTCTGCCAAGCTCACGGCCGGTCTCGGAGTATACCACATCAAGGCCGGACTGGCGGGCAAAGTCTTTCAGATCCTAGAGTACGAATTGGTGAGTTCATTTCCCGGTGAAGCAAGCCTGATATCCGGTAGGTCCATGTGGTTGAGAGCAGAACGATGAGGCGCCAGTCGCAAAGGGTCTCAAAAGAAAGACCAAAGATCAAGATCCAAGGCAGGGTAGTCCAAAAGGGGCATAAAGTTCTCCTTCCAGGTTGAGGTCGTCCAGTCTTCAACCTAGCTCGTTGGAGAGCCTAGGTTGCTCCTCGAGTAATGTGTGTAGCTCCCAAAATATCGCTCGCAGTCGGCACATATCCAAAACCGGGGCAGGCTCGGAATATGCAGACAAAATGTGTAGGTAATAGGTAAAAGGCAAAAAGAAATAGGTAGAGATGTCAAGAAACGCTGATGAGCCGGGCTTCAAGGCGTCCGTTTATTCCTAGGGAAAGGGGACTTGGGCTGCTAACCTGCCAACTTGTTTCCGGGAGTCCAGAAAGTAACATGCGAAAGATCGTGCGGCGGGGGCGAGGCATGTTGGGGCGGTCCATCGGGCCAGGGAAGTTTTCCTTGCGGCGCGGGCCACGGGCAAATTGCACGGTGAGTCGCTCGCCCTTGAAATCGCTGCCATCTGTGGGTTTGCAAGCGTCAATTGATAGCCCTGGAGAGGGATCTGACAGTATCACGTACGAAAAGCTAAAAGAAGAATAATTGTTAGTCAATGGCAAGTGACGTGGCTTACGCTGGACAGGGAAGTGAGGGCTCACCGGGAACAACATCTCGAGCATCCATCGCGTCTTCGTACTCGATGAAGCCGAAGCCATTCATCAATTTGATCTCTGTGATCTTTCCGGAACCATGGGTGCTGAAATGCTCCTCGATATCCTGCTTAGTTACTGAATTAGGACTGCGACGCCCACAAGGGCGCCGCATTCAAAGGTCAGCTCATTGCGGAAAACAAAACACGTAAATGGGTCCAAGAAAAGTAAATTGAGAATCCTCCCCTGCAGTGTCCGGGTTCGAGGGAACCCTGCGCAGAGTGGGGAGGAGCGCGCGCAGGTCTGGTTCCTGGCTAACAACCCCAACAGGTAGGATCTGAAAGCAGGAAAGAGATGCAATGGCCCACTGAACCAACGTCACTTGAGGGACTGGAAAGACATCCATCCAGAACACATGGCAATCCAGTGGACATCCTGTTACTGTGGCGCAGGTGGGCTGGAACAGATTTGGAAGGAAGAAATCCATATCGGATGGAAAGGAGACCTTGAAGAACGGATAGATGGCTGCATACCATTGCGGGGAAGGTTCCCGAGATAAAGTCGGGTGGACGAGACTTCAGTCATGGCTGGAACTCGGAAAGCAAACAAAGCAAGTCGCGGGATAATCCAATCGGCAAGGGGAGATTAACGTGTGGCCTCGGAAGTTCTTCCAGTTGGTGATCTGGGGGAATAAGCCACAGATGAGGATGATGGCCTGGTTATTATTCTCTCCAACGGTGTGTACTCCAGGTAGCTTAGTTGCGACAGAAACGGTAGCTCGAGATAGTTCGGTTTTCCTGGCAGTCCGGGAGCCGGGGAACAGACAGTCGAGAGATTCCGGATGATTTTAGTAGACCTGGTGATAGGTAAATAAAGAGACACCACCAGCTTGGAGCTGAGAGTGGTGTGCGTGCGTGCGTGCGTGCGTGCGTGTGTTTGGCTATCGTTGGCGAGTTATCGCAGTCGAGGGAAAAGGAGAGGAGGGGGGCGGAGGGGTTAGTCGAGGTAAATTGTTTGTCAGACTGTTTATTATGTCGGGATAATCTGATAGATGAATGGATAGGGGGGTACGGAGGAAGGAAGGACGGT